GTTAGCTTGTATAGGCAGTGTTGGCATATCGTCCCAGTTTGAGTTTTACGTTTCGTACGTTGGTTAGTTTGTTTTGGTTGGGTATGTGATAACGGTTATGTTCTCAGGTTTATCGATATGATATGATATTTGATGACATAAAGTTATTATAGTTGCGTTTTGATATATTGGTCACTGACTTGACACTGGCAGAATTCTATCAAGAGAAGCCATAATTTAAAAGAAGAAGAAGATATATTGGTGTCATGCCTCATCATCATCATCATTACAGCCTTTCATAAGTCCACTGCTGAACATAGGCTTCTCCCAAGGAATGCCACAAAACACAGTCCTTAGCCACCTGCATCCATCGACTTCCTGCATATCTTAACAGGTCGTCACTCCATCTAGTGGTGGGTCGCCTTACACTTCGCCTACTGGTACGAGGCAGCCACTCGAGAACCTTTCTTCCTCATCGGTTGTCGGTTCTTCGAGCTATATGACCGGCCCACTACCACTTCAGCTTACTAATCCTTTGGGCTATGTCAGTTACTCTGGTTCTATTGCGGATATCCTCATTTCTAAGTTTAATACGCAGAGAAACTCCAAGCATAGCCCTTTCCATAGCTCGCTGAACGACCTTGAGCTTCCTCATACGGCCAGCAGTGAAGGACCACGTCTCAGATCGGTAAGTAATCACTGGCAACACGCACTGGTTGTACAATTTTGTTTTCAGGTTTTGAGGTAAACCTGACGAGATGTGTCGCAGTTTCCCGAACGCTGCCCAGCCGAGTTGAATTCGTCGATTGACCTCTCGGTCGAAATTGGACTTACCTAGTCGGACTATTTGTCCGAGGTAAACATATTCGTCAACAACTTCCAGCTTAGTGCTCCCAACAACTACCGGCATAGGTGTGATATAGACGTTAAACATAATTTTTGTTTTGTCCATGTTCATCTTAAGACCTATCTGTTGGGGGACACTATTGAGGTCATTGAGCATAGTGCTTAGGTCCTCCAGCGATTCTGCCATAAGGGCTATATCGTCGGCAAATCGAAGGTGAGTGATGTACTCGCTATTTATGTTAATACCGCATCCTTTCCAGTCCAGTAGCTTGAAAATGTCTTCCAATGCAGCGGTGACGAGTTTCGGGGATATAATGTCACCCTGTCTTACACCTCTCTGCAGTTGGATAGGTTTCGTACTCTGATTCTGTACTCGAATAGCCATCGCAGCTCTACTGTACAAACACTTCAGCACTTCGATATACCGACAGTCAATTTGACACCGCTGAAAGAACTGCAACACAGCCAAAATTTCGACGGAATCAAAGGCTTTCTCATAGTCCACATACGCAAGGCAAATTGGCAGATTATACTCCTCTGTCTTCTGTACAATCTGCCGCAGGATATGTATGTGGTCTATGGTACTAAAGCCTTTTCGGAACCGGCTTGTTTGGGAGGCTGGAAGTCGTCAAGTCTGCGTGCGATACGATTCGTAATGACTCTCGAAAAAAGCACGTAGACGTGACTCAGAAGGGAAATTGGTCTGTAGTTCTTCAAAAGAGCGTTGTCGCCTTTCTTGAAGAACAAGATCACCGCACTTCTGCTCCACGCCTCCGGAGTAGTGCCACCATGGAAGACGGAATTAAAGAGCTTCTGAAGGACTTCAAGTACCGGTTTCCCACACGCTTTCAAAAGCTCAGCTGTAATTCCATCCTCACCCGGGCACTTGCCGTTTTTAAGGTGCTGGAGAGCCATTCTAATCTCGCTCAGACTGACGTCCGGGATATCTTCGGAATAGTGTCGGATAAGACTCGCTCTTGGATCGTTACTCACACTTGCGTGTGGCTCCAACGATGACATGTACAGCTGCCTATAGAACCTCTCAATCTCACTCAAAATCTCAGGTGTCCCGGAAACGATGCTGCCAGACTCGGTCTTCAGCTATGACAGTTGGCCCTTTCTGGCAGACAGATCTCTGGCAAAGACTTTGGAGCCTAGGACTCATGCCTAGTAGCTTGCAATTTTCATCTGGTAACACTGTACAGAAACGTTAGGCATGAGCCATTAACGGTTTTTTAGTTAATGTAATTTAGCTGTTAATCATTAATGGTCAACAGGTTAAAAAGGCTGTTCAATAAATAACAGGTTTTAAAACATCAATCTGTTAAGAATGAAAAAAATAGACAGGCTGTTTTGAAAGAATTTAACGCAAATGTTTTTGATGTCGATCTAGTGAAAATGTTTTTATCGAACCCCAAATCAAAGATATCAAGAGGGTTATTCCGGCTTGCTTCTAGGACGGAATAATTATCTTCTCTATTGTTCGCGACGGTTTAAAGACTTTAAGCAAAAAGTGATTAAAGAATATTAAAGTGTTTTAAAAAGTGAAATTAGCGACAAAATCGAACAAATTGTGTTTTAATATAGTTTTACAGTATGTTTACAACTCGTAATATATTTGTATAAAGTATCGTTTTAATAATAATTTGATATAAACGACTTTAAACATTAAATAAAATTTCGACCAATCACAGCGCAGCATATCGTGGAAATTTCTAGAAGTTAATTAACTGCGCAATAGTTTATATGAAAATAATGAGAATATTTTTATGTTCTGAAAGAATTGTAAATACGATATTTAGTTAGCATATGGTGCATAGATTAAAATAAGTAAATAGATAATTTGCGTAAATAAACGCATTTGAGAAATATAGTAAAATTAAAGATTTAATGTGCACTTTTGTTATGTAAATTAGGTACATTTTGATTAATAACTTTTTTGAATATAAATATATCAAGTAACCCTTATCACATAATGATAAAGGACCAAAATGCCTATTTTATAGTGTATAGCGTGTTAATGTAAAAATTAGCATTATATAGAAAAATTGCGATTTGTGCAAATTACGTAATGAAAATGTTTGATAATAAAAAGGCAAAACCGGAAATTGGCAAGCGGCTCTCTATAGAGTATAGCCGAAGTCTACCTTATGGGGGCAAATCACAGTAACATTGTAGTAGGAAGAACTACCAGTAACAAGCAGTAGTATCCGGTAGTAGCTGAAGTGACTAGTAGCAGAACACAGTGAAAAGTTAAAATGAAATAGAAAAAGTTTAGCTAGCCGAAAAAGGTCGTAACTGAAAAATCGCAGTTACACATAGTCGGAAAAAGTGGCAACTGAAAATTCTCAGTTGCATATAGTAAAATAGTGTCAGCTAGCCAAAAATAGTGGTAACTGATATTCGCAGTTACATATAGTGAAAAAGTGTTGGCTAGCTGAAAAAAGTGGTAACGGAAATTTCGCCGTTACATATAGTGAAAAGTGTTAGCTAGACGGAAAAAGTGGTAACTGATATTCGCAGTTACAAAAGTGTTAAATTCAACTAATCTTAGTTGATTAATAGCTGCTAGTCAGTAGTGTTAGAAAACCAGCTGCTACCAATAGAAATATTTGATACTACCAATAGAAATTTGTTACTTTCAATAAATATTTAAAATTACCAATAGAAATAGTAGAGAATACCAATAGAAACTCGTTACTGCCAATAGAAATTTGATATTACCAACAGATATTTTGAAAATACGAATAGAAAATTTAAAAAACCAATAGAAATTTTAATATTACTGTGTGTTTAATTAAATCTGTGTTTTAAAATATATAGTGAACAATCATAGTTGAAAAACAGTGTTAAATAAATAAATAAGTTATAATATTTCGCGACTAATTAATCGGTCGAACCGCTGGCCACTCCCTTGCTATTTTAATTTATAAATCGTGCATTTTTTAATTCTGAACCTCAGTCCACAGTTCTCCAACAACATACACAAAGGCGGTAGTGAAAGTATCCACCGGAACCTATAGGTGTAGGACGTGAGCGGCTCGCGGAGTATCTTCGACAACATTTACTCCGGAGAGTTACGCCCGTCCGGCACATCTATCTAGTATAAGTTTCTTTTTAGGTTAGTAATTTAACTAGTACTGTCAATTATACATTTTTATTTTGTTATAGTGTTAGCAGTTATTAGTATAAGGTATGATGGGATTGGCATGTCAGTTTGACAAAAATCCCAAAAAATATTAAAGAAAAATAAAACTTCAATCGTTAGCGTTAATTGTCAATTTAATATTTCAACGTTTTCGATCAACAATTCTGTTGCAGATTAAGTTAAAGATAATAAATATCGATTTGATAAGAATTTAGACTATTTTTGGTTTTATTGAACGGGACTGACCTTTCCTTCGTACTATTTTCAGGCTTAGGACTGGGTGGATAAAAATAATATCCAGGCATACTTAAAATATCTTATGGTAGTATATACATTATTCATAATTTTTTTTTCTTTGTTCTATTTACAATTACATATCAGATCCCATAACCTGCAAAACTAAACTAAACTAAAAAACACCCGTCGTAATGCAAAAAAAAAAACAATCTCAACAAATTTTAGCCTTGACCGACACTCACGGATTGTTAACACACAATAAATACAAAATCATATCAAATAACAAATGAACTTTCTTTACTCACTTACACTGACACACACACACACACGCACACACACACGCCCACGCACGAGACCGCGTCCGATGCGTCGCGGCTGTGTTTGGTAACCTCCGGAAGTAACTAAAAGAGACTAAATTCACAGAAATTAATAAAATAATATTGATATAATGCGTTGATTGCGTTGACGTAAATTGACAGCTAATATTTTTAACCTTTTATTTCATTAATGAATAACAGTTAACATGACGACGAATGACAAGCCGTTAAAAAAAACCGTTTATTTATTCAATGCCCACTTAGCTTGCTACATATATATTTATCTATGGCCCACTTCTAGGAGTAAGGAGCAACAACGTCAATGTCAATTGTCAAAGCCATGCCTTGCAACTTGTGTTTTTTTACACTTTTTTAACTTTACCAAAATAATAAATATTTTCGTTGCTAATGATTGCATTTTAAAAGTTCTGCAACTTTTGATTGAAGAAGCACTACATTTAGATCAAAGAAACATGTCTTCAAATATAAATAATATGTTATATTTGTGTAATTTTGACACACTTTTAAATAATTCAGGTTTGCGTTTTTTCTATGCGCTGTTAACTTAAAATGAGTTTGTTATGTTTTTCTTTTTACATTATTGTATATATGCTATTATTTTATTTATTTTAGAACCAGAGATTATTAAGAAATTGTGGGTAGGACAATGGACTATCAAAGATACTGAATTGTGTAAACAACTGTTATTGTGTGGCTTGGAGACGGAAGACTTGTTAGATATATTCAAGAAATATTCGAAAGATGATTGCTTCAATGAAAAGATATTGGATTTAGCTATTAGTGCAATTTTAACTTACTGCAATATTAATTGGAACACTCTTCCTGATCAATTTGATTTACAGCAATATTTTGGTATTGAATGGCCTAAAGGTACAGACGTATTTATAAAGCTCCAGTGTGATTCAGAACCATTGTATCCAAATGTAGTCAATCCAGAATTATTGTACTTTTCTTTACAAATATTTGGTGCTCTGTGTTCTTTGGAACAAAACTTGGTAAGTGAGCTATTTTATTGTAAAACATATTCATTTAATGCTTTTCTCCATCAGAAGAATTGGGTTTAAGCAGTTTTGGTTCGATTTTCTAGGATTAGTTGGTTGCCTGAGACTTAATGTAAAGAAAATTTGTGTATTAATCATCAAGGCGGTGTTGCTTTGTGGTAGTGTGGTTAAGGCCCACACTCATCATGCTAGGCAAGCAGTAAGCCCACCCACTTGTCTAGCATGAGTGTGGGACTATCTTTCAAAAAATGTTTGCAATCTGTAGAAATGTCTAAATCCAACTATGGTCATAAAGGTCTGTTTATGTCAATAAATAATTTTTATATTAAATTATTTGATACATTAAAATTGAAGTCAAGTTTTATATCCATAGTAGTAAACTTAATATTTTTATACAAATAAATATATCTATCTACATTGGTATACATTGTGTTGTGTATACTTGTCTAAAAAAAAGCAATAGCTAGCTGTGGAATGTCAGGGGATTTGTTCTAATTAAGATAAGTTTGATCTTTGTGAACATTGAGCATTGTCAGTTGCAATTTTTACGTGGTAGAGCCATGCTGCAGCTATATTAATAGTATGTATTAATAGTTGTAGCACGAATGGGTCGGCTCGACTGGGGGAAGGACCACGTTCTCACAGAATACCAGCGTAAAATAGCAGCTTAATGCTGCTGTGTATCATATGGTGAGTGTAGAGAACCGGAGACCCACTTTACTGGAAAAGAGGCATTCTATCTTAGTCCTCAAGGCTGACAACGCATCTGTATTTTAATTCACAAACGAGGATAGATGCAGATGTCTATGGGCCACAGCAACCACTTACCATCAGGTGGACTGTGTGCTCGTTTGTCACACTAATTCTATAAAAAAAATTTATTTAAGGTAGGTTGTGGACCGTAAACTTTAAAATTTTTTTTTGGGTTTCAAATCTGCCTTTTGACTTCTGCTGTGGAGTACTCCCAACACAAGCATTTTATGCTTACTTGGGGTGGTTTACAGTAATATTAGTAATTTTTTATTAATTGAGGCAGTGCGTCAGATTCTTCGTTGTCCTCAATCTCTCAAGAATGAGAGTGAATTGGTCATGATATACATGTTTGTACTTTTTCTTTATGACTATGTATTTGCCCATAATTATGCCTCTCCAATTTTTTTTCTCCACACACTTGCTACACCAGTCATATGTTTAGATTGTGGTTAACCAAACAGATATTTTAATTAATTAATTAAATTCTTAAAGGTTCATCTGTGGTGGTGTTTTCGTAGTAAAGTTATTCATCAAAGAGCACTAGAAGAAACAAGCGCAAGTCTTTATAATGAACTAGAACTCATCATGGCAAAGTTGTCAAATGAATCACAGAAATTAAATAATCCTCGCTTGAAAGTTTTGTTGTATATAGAAATGGCACAGGCATATCTTATCTATGGTAGAGTGCAAAACGCTGAAGAATATTTACTTAAGGCCAAAGACCTTGCCGGCTTAAAATTGGAATTGACAGGTAATAATATTCTAAAAACTAATAATATATTAAAAATAAAAAAAGCTCTACCCTGCTTACCTTTTGCTTCTGCTAAGAAGCAACACACTATTGTATTCCAGTTGGAAAAATCAAGACAAGGCTTTTTACCATATTACAGTGACAAGGAATCTGTAACCTTCTTTGTTTAGAGCTGGCTGATTGTGATCATGGGCTGCAGAGGCCAATTACGATATCTTTTTTTAATATGGGTGAGAAACAAGCACACAGTCCACCTGATGGTAAGTGGTTGCTGTGGCCCATAGATATCTACATCTATCCTCGTTTGTGAATCAAAATGGAGATGCATTGGCAGCCGTGAGGGTTAAGATGGAATGCCTCTTTTCCAGTACAATGGGTATCTGGTTCTCTACACTCACCATATGAAATGCAGCATTCTGTAAGAGCGTAGTCCTTCCCCGGTTGAGCCAACCCATTTGTGCTACAACTATGCTATTGTTGCGCGCCACTATTAATGTCTTGTACATGGCAACACTAGTTCCACTAGCGCCCTCTAGTGTCGAGTAGCAGAACTAGTCAAGATCCTTCTAGAAATTTCGGGACCGATATGTACTCGAACATTCTAGATGTCGCTACAGTAGAAGGTTCTGGAAACTATCTGAGGCCCTATATAAGGCCGGTATAGACCACGACCGAGGCAGTATTGAATTGGCGATACAAGAGAATAGTTCGAAGTCAAATAACTGCGGACTAAAGTGATTGTGTTTTATTATTAGTGTGGTTTTAGATTGTATTTAGTGTTGTGTAATTAAAGTGTCAATTTTGGTAATTCAATCGTATGTTTTTAATTGTCTCGAACCCCAAGCTCGTAACAATTGGTGTCGGAAGTGGGATCAAATCATGCCGATTTTATCAAAGGACGACATGGAGGGTATCCGTACCCGAAGTCAACGCCAGCTGAAGACGGAAAAGAGACGATTTGGTAATGCAACGCCGCAAACGTCGTAGGGCCAGCTGCTGACCACGGAGGCCGGCCCGTCAGCAGCTCCTGCATCTGCAGCACCTGACCTAGGTGCTCCGATGATGATGCTGCAGGATCAGGCTCGCCAACAGGAGGAACAGACCCGTCGGTTGGAAGAGCAGCTGCAGCGCGGACAGGAGGAACAGGTCCGTCGGTTGGAAGAGCAGCTGCAGCGCGGACAGGAGGAACAGGCCCGTTGCTTGGAAAAGCAGCTCAAACGCGATAAGGAAGAGCAGATGCTCCTCATGAAGGACCTTCACGCTACCTTCGGGAAAGAGATAAAGGAGGTGAAGAATAGGGTGGCTCAACATGACAACCGCCTGTCGGAAGCTGAAACCCGAATCGATCAAGTGAACAATCGGGTTGACAATGTGATGGTTGACGTGAAGAAAACGCTGAACGACCTCAAAATTGGGGATGGAGTTACAGCTCCAGTGGTAGCTACAACACCTTCGCTACGTGGATTCAAAGTGCCACCGTTCGACGGGACTTCTTTCTGGTCGGCCTACAAAATCCAGTTCGAGGCTGTCATGAAAGCAAACGGCTGGAATAAAAGTCAGGCCATGACTGCTCTCACCCTAGGCCTGCGCGACCAGACCTTAACTGTTCTGGAAGCTCTCGGTAAGGAAGTGACTTACGAGCAGCTCTTTGAGGCATTGGAGGCGAGATATGGCGACTCACCTGGAACACGTCTTTCGTGCGCAGCTCAAAGATCGCGTGCGATGCAGTAATGAAAACTTGCAGCAGTGGGCGCTTGAGGTGGAGAAGCTGGTTCGAAAAGCGTACCAGTCTGTACCTGCGCTCATTGTAGGGAACCTGGTGCAGACTTTCATTGACGGCATCCGTGAAGTTAGAGCTGCTGTGAGGCTCGGGCACCACGAGACGTTTAAGGACGCCTTGACCCATGCACTGGAGGTGGCAGCCGTGCGGCAGGATCATCGTTCCCATCGCGTCAGGGAGGTTGCAGCAGCTACAGTTCGCGACCGCAATAAAGGATACAGCCGTAGGTGCTATGGCTGTGGGGAAAGGGGCCATCTTGGATCCAGCTGCCCTAAGCGAACTGCAGAAAGAGAAGGTAATCGATCTCACCGCAACAACACCGCCCAGGGGCAGCAGGGAAACTGGCGGGTGCTGGCTGATGTTAAAAGAGCCCTAAGGATTTCGATCTCACAAACCTATGATGGAAACAGCCTAATCATCAAGGGTGAGGTCAAAGGAACGCCGTGTAAACTGGCCATAGACACTGGAGCCTCTCGCACGGTTGTCAGTTTCCAACTTATAAGTCAGTTCCTTGGGGATTCCGCATGCAACCGAGAACGCATTAATTTGGTGACAGCCACCGGTCAGCGCATACCCTTTCGTGGAGAGAAGGAGATGGAGTTGAAACTAGGCAACATGATTTACCTGCATAATGTCATGATATAATGTTGGCTGTGGCTGATATAATGGACGACTGCATCCTGGGCCTAGACTTTTATGAGGAAGAATTGTTGTGAGATCGACGTTAAGCAAGGTGTTTTGAAATGTGGACAAGAGGAACTTTTCGTGGAAGGGGCGTTACCAGGGAATGTGTACATCCTTAAGAAGATTCTTCTTCCGCCGAGATCGGAAATGATTGTGCCGGTTAGACTTCCTCGGAATCCTGGGCAAACTCTTCGTTGTGTACTCGTGGAAAGGGTAGACAATGACCTTCCATGGATAGTGCCTCGAACCTTGGTCAGAACCGCCGACATCTCAGGAGTACGTGTGCTGAACCTTTGTGATCAGGAACAAATTATAGGAAAAGGCACATTGGTTGGTACTAGTGAGGAAGTGGATTGGTTGTGTCGGTGCCAATATCTATCGACTGGGACCCCCAGCAAGGATGGACAAACGAGAGTGACCACACTTTCAGAAGACTGTCGCAGCGTTCTCTCCCCGAATGAAATGGTCAAGGCGAAGAAGTTGTTACTCAAGTACGCCAATATTTTCTCGACAAACGAAGCTGACATAGGAAAGACTGGCTTAGTTCAACACAAAATAAACACAGGGGAAGAATTGCCTATTCGTCAGCGGCCGAAAAGATTGTCTGTAGCACGTGAAAAGGAAGTGGAAACCATGATTGAGGAAATGGTGAAGAATGGTGTTATTGAACCTTCATCTAGTCCATGGTGTTCACTTGTGGTGCTGGTAAAGAAGAAGGACGGCAGCATGCAATTTTGTGTTGACTACCGCCGCCTGAACGACGTTACAAAGAAGGACAGCTATCCCTTGCCAAGAATTGATGACACGCTGGACATGCTTACAGGCGTAAAGTGGTTTAGTACGCTGGACCTGAAAATTGGCTACTGGCAGGTTGAAATTGACCCTAAGGACAAGGAGAAAACTGCATTCTCCACAGGAAAGGGTCTGTGGTAATTTAAAGTCATGCCGTTTGGATTGTGCAATGCTCCAGCAACGTTTGAAAGGTTGATGGAGCTTGTACTTACCGGGCTAATTGGAGGTGCCTGTCTGGTCTACTTGGATGACATCATCATCGTAGGCCGTACGTTTGAGGAACACCTTCAAAACCTGGAACGCGTGCTCATGAAGATCCAGAGTGCCAACCTCAAGTTGAGTTCGAAGAAGTGCTCACTATTCAAACGGGAAGTTAGCTTTTTGGGGTATGTAGTGTCGGAAGAAGGTATCCGCACGGATTCAGAGAAAATTACCGCTGTCAAGGAGTGGCCGGTTCCAAAAGACAAGACACAGGTTAGAGCATGTTTGGGTTTGTGCTCTTATTATCGGCGATTTGTGAAGAACTTTGCAGATATAGCCAAACTTCTGTACAAGCTAACCGAGGAGAAGCGACATTTCTGCTGGGATGAAAGTTGCGATATTGCATTCCAGGAGCTCAAGAACCGTCTGTGCAAAACACCTATTTTGGGGTACCCTGATGCGGGCAAGGAATTCATAGTTGATACAGACGCAAGTGATATAGGACTTGGCGGTGTGTTGTCTCAACGGAATGGTAATCAAGAGATTGTGATAGCGTACTTTAGCAAGTCGTTGTCAAAGCCGGAAAGGAACTATTGTGTCACAAGACGGGAATTGCTTGCTGTGGTAAAGTCCTTGCAGCATTTTAGCAAATATCTTCTGGGGCGGAAATTCCACTTACGAACTGATCATGCTGCACTGAAATGGCTATTGCAGTTCAAAAATCCGGAAGGACAAGTTGCGAGATGGATTGAACTACTGCAGGAATACGACTTTGTGATCGAACATCGCAGCGGGAAATCTCATGGCAATGCAGATGCATTGTCAAGAAGACCTTGCCCTGAAGATTGAAAGTATTGTACTAGGCAAGACGGTAAGGAAGTGGTATCTGTGAGGATGCTCAGGACAGACCAGCTCAGCAATGATTGGAAGGACAGCCTACAATACGCACAGCAGGAAGATTCGGACATTAAGCCGATTCTGAAATGGATGAAGGCCAGTGCTCCTAAGCCCAAGTGAGGCGACGTCTCAGCAATGAGTTCGACCACGAAAAGCTATTGGGCCCAATGGGACAGCTTGCTGATTCAGGATGGAGTCCTGTGCCGTAAATGGGAAAATGGTCGGGGAGACAGGTGTCATTTGCAAATGGTTGTCCCTAAGGCTAAAGTACCGGATGTTCTACAACTGTACCAGGAGGCCACCTAGAAGTTAAACGAACTCTACTGAAGATCGGAGAACGGTTTTACTGGGTCCACTGTCGTGACGATGTTGAGGACTGGTGCCGCAAATGTACAAGTTGTGCGGCTGTAAAGGGACGTCAAACTCGTAGTAGAGGCGCATTGAAATTGTACAATGTTGGTGCACCATGGGAGAGGATCGCCATTGACGTTGCGGGGCCGTTTCCAGAAACTGAAAGTGGTAACAAGTATTTCATGGTTGTGATGGATTACTTCACTAAGTGGCCAGAAGTCTTCGCCATTCCAAATCAAGAAGCTTCAACAGTTGCAGATAAACTAGTTCATGAAGTCTTCTGTCGTTTTGGAGTACCCTTAGAGATTCACAGCGATCAAGGAAGGAATTTTGAGTCTCAAATATTCCAGCAAACTTGCAGAGTTATGGGTACTCATAAAACACGAACAACTTTTTACCACCCACAATCTGATGGAATGGTAGAACGATTTAATCAGACTTTGGAAAGGTACCTGGCAAAAGTTGTGGAAAAACAGCAACGAGACTGGGACAGGCACATACAACCGTTTTTGTTGTCATATCGAAGCGCTGTTCACGAAAGTACATCAGTGACGCCAGCTTTCGCAAACTTTGGGAGAAAATTACGGCTGCCTGCAGACCTGATCACCGGAATACCACCTGATGCCCCACGCAGTATAACCGATTATGCAAATGACTTGCGGAACAAAATGAATGACATTTATGAGTACGTCAGACAGTCGGGCCAGCAAACGTCTGAGAAGATGAAAACACGGTATGACCGCAAAATGAACAATAAAGGGTTTGACGAAGGTTCACTAGTGTGGTTACACAATCCAGCTCGCAGCAAAGGGAAATCTCCTAAGCTTCAAGCTAAATGGGACGGACCGTACCGTATTGTGATAAGGATCAATGACGTAACCTACCGGATACAGAAAGGTGCCAGATGTACTCCTAAGATCGTCCATGTGGATCGACTGGCGCGTTATTATGGGGCCAATAATGCTCGGGACGAGCATGTCTTAGGAGGGGGCAGTGTTGCGCGCCACTATTAATGTCTTGTACATGGCAACACTAGTTACACTAGCGCCCTCTAGTGTCGAGTAGCAGAACTAGTCAAGATCCTTCTAGAAATTTCGGGACCGATATGTACTCGAACATTCTAGATGTCGCTACAGTAGAAGGTTCTGGAAACTATCTGGGGCCCTATATAAGGCCGGTATAGACCACGACCGAGGCAGTATTGAATTGGCGATACAAGAGAATACTTCGAAGCGAAATAACTGTGGACTAAAGTGATTGTGTTTTATTATTAGTGTGGTTTTAGATTGTAATTAGTGTTGTGTAATTAAAGTGTCAATTTTGGTTCAATCGGATGTTTTTAATTGTCTCGAACCCCAAGCTCGTAACACTATTAATATAGTTGCAGCATGACACTACCACATATAAGTTCATGTGGATGGCCAGCTTGTTAGTCACTACAATGTGTACAAAAACTTGTATAATTGGCTAGTGACTTTTTATACTCTTTCCATAGTTTTTTATTGTAGTCCTGATTTTCTCTTTCCTATTTTATATGTAATTAAAATATGTATTTTTGTAAAATACTTCACAACTTGTATCATAGATGATTGATTTTCAGGTATCTTGGGAAAACGAACTAAATTCCAACAAAATGCTCTACCTCAATTAGCTTTAACAAGTGAGTTGGACTTGACTGTGGAACGTGATTCAGCAGAAATAAGCCATGGCAATTCAGAGCTACCGCCAGACATAGAGTTGCAAGATGATGTGAGGCTTAATAAAGTACAATTTATTGAGAAGATTAGCCAGACAGAGCTACCGAGCTTAGAACAGACGCTGTGTTTACTGACTGTGTATGTATTATTCCTACTTACTAGCATCCTTGTCTTATTGTTTGGACTACTAGACAAAAAAATAATAAAGATTTTGTGTTATTGACATTGTACCTAATCCTACATTATCATTCAGTCATGTTGGCATTGGATTCAAGTAAGTGACTTATTAAACTACATTTTGTGTACTTTTTGAAGTGAAAAGTTAATTAGGATCGCTGTGATTTGAAACTCGATGTGTTACAGCAAAGACTGCGATCTCTTGGAAGATATGTTTTATTGTTGTGCAATCGATCAAAATGGACGAGCCTTGGCAAGGCTCTTCATATTTATAGTCTCGTACAGCGCCCTCAGCGGTATTACAATGGAACTAATTGCTTAGGTTCTATAACTAACACACTCTGTGATCGATACAATGGTTAGGTTACTTCCTAGTTACAGTACGGGCGATCTAGATGTCGCTAGTTTGTTGTACATGGTATGAGATAGATGGCGCTGTCATCTGAACATGCTCCGGCCTTGAAATGGTAATTTCAAATTGAAGAAAGTAAATAGGTAAACTAATATTACCATTTCAAAACCAAATTACAAATTTAAATTACTCTTTGGTAATTTACCTACCTAAATATTTACCCTGTCACAAAGAAACTGCCGAGCTTTCTAAACAGTTTGTCCATGACCTGGGCACATCTAAATGAATGCAAATTGAATAAATCAAATGAGTGAAACACCCCTAAGCTAAGTTTGAACAATAGGAAAGGCTTCATTTTATTACCTACCTAAACTTGATCCCTACTTTGAAACCAATATTTATTTGCAAGAAATGTAAAGTAAACTTATGTACTTAAATAACATATTGAAACTTAATTAGGATATGCTTAATGATGACTACCTATATACTAGTATTAGGTACCTATAAACTAGACACTAATTACAGTCCGTTGGTAAAGGACAAATCGAGTTGAAACTACGCTTGATGATGGCTCCCTTTGACGTCTTCATCGTTGCGACACGAACAGTGTTGTCAGGGCCCGGGTGTACTGCGATGATCCTCGCCAGCGCCCAAAGACAGGGAGGGAGGCGATCGTCTTTGACTAGGACGATCGTGCCGACAGCCAGACTGGGTCCTTTGGAGCTTCGCCATTTGCTTCGCTGCTGAAGGAGCCCCACGTAGTCACGTGACCATCTTCTCCAGAATCCCTGGTACATCTGTTGGAGTTGTTGAAAGTGTTTCAATCTCGTCATTGGTATGTCTTTGTATTCGAAGTCTGGCAGAGAAGTAATCGGTCTTCCAATGAGGAAGTGAGCAGGGGTAAGGACTTGGATTATGTCTGTGTCGGAAGTAGGGAGGGGGCAGAGGGGTCGACTGTTTAGTATTCCCTCAATTTCTATTAAAAGAGTTGAGAACTCCTCATACGTTAACAAACTTTGATTTAATGTCCTTTTTAAGTGAAACTTAACACTTTTGACGGCTGCTTCCCAAATACCACCCATATGGGGTGAATAAACAGGAATAAATTTCCACTCAATACCTTGTGATGAACAGGAAGCCGCCAGATCACTCGAATTATGTTTGACAAAATCATATAATTCAGTTAATTCCCTATTTGCGCCCTTAAAGGTAGTGCCATTGTCACTCACCAGTCGCTTCGGTATACCTCGCCTCGCTGTGAATCTCCGAAGAGCCGCCATGAAGCTCGGTACATCGAGACCTGTGATCAGCTCAATGTGGATTGCCTTCGTTGCGAGACAGATAAAAATAGCCCCATACGCCTTATAAGTTTTGTAGCCACGCCCTCTCTTGTCGCGTAGTATAAAGTTTCCAGTATAATCGATTCCTGAAATTTGAAACGGAGGGGATGGGTTTACCCGGTATTGAGGAAGGTTACCCATAGCTGGTATCGTTGTCTCTGGCTTGGCGCGGAAGCAGGTTATACACTGCTTGACAATTTTTTTTGCTAGATTCTTACCTTGAATCGGCCAGTAGCGTTCTCGTACTGATGATAATAAGAGTTGAGGACCGGCATGCAATAGTCGCCTGTGTTCGTTTGTCATAATCAACTTTGTAAGTGGGTGATCGCTGTGTAATATGGTTGGGTGTTTTTTGTCATAACTGTATTGTGACAGACTTATACGACCACCGACCTTTATAAGGTCGTTTTCGAAAAATGGTTTTAGGGAAATCAGCTTTGAATTTTTTGGTAATGATTGATTGTTTTTTAGCAAATTATATTCAGTGGGAAATGATTCCAACTGGGCAAATTTAATTAAATTATTTTTTGCTTGTTTAATTTCTTCAGGCGTTAGTGAGCCTTTGATTTTGTTACCTTGATTCTTACAGTTATGAATATATCTATAAATGGGTCCTGTTTTATTGTACCTTTATGCAAAATGTCATTCAGTGAAATGCCCGTAGAAGTTGGGTTCGAGGCATCAAAAACTACTCTCAGCGGAGTTGTTACCTTTTCTGGATTAATTACTGCATGATGTGGGAGATAGTTGCGTTTTAAGTCAGGATCGGCATCGTCATATTTGTCTTTAATCATGCGACCCGCCTGTTCCAATTCTCTCATGAAATTTACATATAATTGTTTACATTGGTTATCGCGTTCAAATTTTTTCTCAAGGGACTTAAATCTTTGTATTGCAATACCTTTCGAATCGCCTAGGAGGTCAGGTGATGCTTTAAATGGTAAGCTAACTACAAAGTTGCCATCAGAAGCGCGAGTGTGTGATTGAAACACCTTCTCGCATTGTTTTTCATCATGTGACAACTGTGACGAAATTAAACCCTTATCTGTGCCACCACTGGCACACTCCTCTAACTCCCAAAACTTCCTGAGCTGAGAATTAAGAGATAAGTTGCACCTTACCTTGTTTTTTCGCGGTGCATTCACTAGGGCGCCGGTAATTATCCAGCCCAATCGCGTACTTTGGAGTAGGCAGTCCCTTGCCTAATTTGTATTGTTCACTGCACATCAATTCGTAAAATAACTCGGCTCCGAGCAACATGTCTATCTCGCTCGAAATATGGAATTCTTCGTCCGCGAGTTTTATTTGCTGTGGAATGTTTAAATATTTTGGGTTAATTGCGTAGTTGGGCACGTTGCATATACTTGGTACAATTAAACAGGTTAGGTTTGTTGAATATGTGTCACTTCGTGATTGGAGTTTAACTTCGCAAAGATAATCAATTTTTGTTGAAATTTCACTAAATCCAATCACCTGCATATCGATTTTATGCTTCGGCAAGTTTAATAAACAATAGGCTCGTTCACTAATAAAATTCGATTGTGCTCCCGAGTCCAGCAGAATTCGTAAAGTGTGACGTTTATTTTTGTTGTCAAAAACATAGACACGAGCGGTGGAGAGAAAAATAGTTTTGTTGTGTACGACATGTGAAGTCACCGTATTCGTAAGTGTCGCTGGTCCGGTAGCAATAAACCGCGCACTGTTTGATGTGCTTGTACTCGGTTGTGCCGATCGCTGCGTTTTGTTCTCGGTATGATTAGTTTGTTGGTTTGTATGCGCCAAATGCGAGTTTCGTAGCGTTGTTGGATGTGATTGAAATGTTTGCTGGTGTTGTGTACCTTCGGTAGGTATGTGGAGAAGTGTATTATGCTTACCTTGACATTGCCTACACGTTGATGAGCGACAGTTTATCACTGCATGGTTAGGGCTCAGGCAGTTGAGGCAGAGCTTTGACCTTTTGACGGCGCGGATGCGCATCACTGGACTCAGGCTTAAAAATCCTGGGCACTGATTAATATAATGCTTACCCTTGCACTGTGGACATTGATGTAAATTTTGCTTATCTGGTCTCGGAGTGACGGAGGAGGACGTGGCCACCAAAGACCTTTTGTCGCGACTGTCAGAACTTACTTCGTCTGAGTGTGACACTTCTAGCAGGTCAGCTCGAGAGCGGAGAAAATCCTTAAATTCCTGCAACGAAGGCAATTCCTTCGAGCTAATCCGCTCTTCCCACTTTCTTTGTATGGAAAGTGGTAATTTGGAACTAATAAAATGTATAATTATTAGGTCCCATTCACTAACAGGTACCGAAAGTGACTTTAGAGATCGTAAATGTTTGGATATATTATCTATGACAGACCTCAAAGAGCTAGCTTGAAATGAAATTGTTTCCATATTGAATAGCCCTTTCAGATGCTTATTTATTAATAAACGTGGGTTGTTGTACCTCTCACAGAGTAGATTCCAAGCCAAGGAGTAATTCTCGCTTGTGAATTCGAGTGAGCTGACTACCTCCAGAGCGCCACCTTGTAAGCAGCTTCGTAGATATTTGTATTTTTGAATACTATTCATTTGACTTTGGTTAATTAGTGAATCAAAGGTTTCTCTAAATTCCAACCAATCGTTCATTCCTCCGCTAAATGATGGTAATGAAATTTCAGGATATCTAATTATGTCCTGTGTCTCTGGTTTATTTTGAACATTTACAACTTGTACTTGGTTGGGGGCATGTCCGGATTGCTTGGAATTTATCATTAATTTAGCATGAGCTACATTTTCAAAATAGGCATCATCATATTTTTGACGGTCTGCTAATTGCTCGTCTATATCGGTACACAATACATCGATCCTTTCTTGTATAGTATCTAAAATATTGTATATAGACCCTACAGCTTCGGTTCTTAGTTGTAAATCTAATATTTGAGAGGCAGATAATTTTTCTACGTTAATTTCTCTAAATTTCTTTACAAAATTGCAGTACATAGTAAGTTTTCCTCTATAGGATTTTCGCTTCTTTTTTAACTCCCTTAGTTCTTGACTCTCTAAAGGAGTTGGCTTTTCGTTAGCCTCATCACTAGACATTTTTACTAGTAAATTAATGGGAATACTAAACCAGAAAAAATACGGAAAGGAAGGAATAAGAAAGGATGCTCACTTTTCTCTGTTTCCTCTTGTCCGCTGGCTTCGTATTCGCCTTGGTTGGTTGGTTGGCCGGCACACCACGTGCCGCCACGTGCCACGTGCCACTCGAACGACACGCGCAGTTGAGGGAATTGATACACAGCGACGCCGAATTGCAGTCCTGTGAGGGAGATCGCAGCTCTTTTCTTGTAAAAGAAGAAAGGAAAGGTCTCACCAGGCAATTGAAGTCTTGTGGTACCCGATTTCTTCTTCAACGATGCACGGCACTCGGTTCCCGTGCTCGTTTTTTTGTGTCCAGGGCAGCCTCGAAGCTTTGTAGCCTCGCAGCCTCGCACCTCGCGGCCACGCGCCTCGCACGATGCTTCACCACCGCGCCACGTGCCACGCGCCACGTTGTCGGAGTTGCTGGTCGGGCGGGCGATTAGCCAGCCGTTCAACGATGTCCGCTTTACGTCGCTCTTCTCCTTGTGGATATCTGCTTGGCCTCTGCGTTTTTTTGCCCTTCTTGCAGTAGGGGTCACCAAAAAATATGTTACAGCAAAGACTGCGATCTCTTGGAAGATATGTTTTATTGTTGTGCAATCGATCAAAATGGACGAGCCTTGGCAAGGCTCTTCATATTTATAGTCTCGTACAGCGCCCTCAGCGGTATTACAATGGAACTAATTGCTTAGGTTCTATAACTAACACACTCTGTGATCGATACAATGGTTAGGTTACTTCCTAGTTACAGTACGGGCGATCTAGATGTCGCTAGTTTGTTGTACATGGTATGAGATAGATGGCGCTGTCATCTGAACACGATGAAACAAAAAATCGACACTAAAAAGAGACAAATATATACATCTATAGGATTTAGCCTGCAAGAAAATAAGATAGAATACAGTATACCGTGTTTCTGTTATTAGTCATGTGATCTATGAGCAGTAATGATTGAGAACAAAATTTATTGGTTAGAAAATATTTAAATAGCTATAAATATTTAAAACTTAAGATGATGAAATTGAAAGCTTCCAGTCTGTATAAAGTGTAATGTAAAATAATTTTTAGTATAATTAATAGAATCAGGCGTTACATTGCGGAAATCCATTATGTAAAAGCTTTTAAAAAATTACTTCGCAAACATCCGCTATATAAAATAAAATGATGTGTCTTACCTAGTACACTGGACACTGGACACAACCTAGCCAACGAGGACTCCTTTAAAGTCTTACATACGTGTAATAAAGGGCTGCGACTGTGTGTGCTGGAACAGTTAGAGATATTAAAAAGTAATAATAGTAATGTTGCACTGCTGAATGAACAAACAAATGTTTCTAACTCACCTCTCTTAAATATCTTTAAGCCTGCTCTCTAATAGCAGACAGCCTCGCAATATGATCCGTTTGTCACCCTCACGGTGATCGGCGATTGGTTGCGTGGTTGGAGGGTAGGCGGGCGTTGCGCGGCGGTTTGTTTTTAATTTTACAAATAGCTGCGTAAGTCCGGCAGTGATTGGTCGCAGGTTTTATCACATGACACGGTCGCTCGCTCCTTAAGCAGGGAGCGGTTGCGTCAGCGGTCTGTTTAAAAGGCAGTTGTTTTGGCTCACCGCTCACTTAACGGTCAGCCACCGTAGAGTCTACATCACCTGAGGATGCCTCGTGTAGAGGCGAAACACGTGTTGTATTGTCGTCAGTGGTGTGTCTTTCCTAGTGTAGTGATGCTGGGATTAGTGGTGACGGGGATAGAGCACGCAATTGAGGTAGGGCGGGAGGTGCTCTTCATACTAGGTAAGACACATCATTTTATTTTATATAGCGGATGTTTGCGAAGTAATTTTTTAAAATCTTTTAAATAATGTTTAAAGTTGGTAAAAAAATTTACCTGTTACTATTCCACTTATATCTGGTTCTCATCTGTCAATTTCTTATAATTAACCCTTTCCACTTGGAAAAGGATCACATTATTTATATAAAATACCTGATTTAAGGGCTTCGCCCTTCCACATTCAAAAGAATGTGGGGGAGGCACACGGCTCCACACGTGCCGTGAGCGCCAGCCAACCAACGCGTTCCCCCCGAAGAGGGAGGTTGGGGTTTGGACCGTAGTCTACAGCAAAATAACTGGCAAAACCCTTGTTAGTGCGTAAGCTCAAACATCGACCGAAGTCGCGCGTAAACGTTATACAGAAAACGATTAAATCCAACCACAGTACTTCACATGGTTTAGGCACACACCAAAATAATAGGCATACTGGCCATAAAAAACCTTCCGTATGCGCCACCACGTGCCAGACCGCCGATCCGGCATACGTGATGTAAGTGTGAGGCATCACCACCAATTGCATGGTCAGCACGACTTCTAGCTGCAATCCTCCTATTTCTGATAATTCTGCATTCGTCTCATTCTCTCAAAGTTTTCTGAAAGTTTCACTTCTACCGAGTGTGAACTGCACACATGTTTTTTCATAAAATATGTTTCAAAGTATTTGCATTCGACTATAGGTTCTTTTTTGAATGTCTATGTCATAGCCGGGGCTTTAAATATTGTATACCTATTCTTTCTTAGCACTGACTTCAGAATGTGAAATTATTTTATTCTTTTTAGTGTTTTGAAGCAGGGCTCGGATAACGGTATATTTTTCGAAACGTTTTCGCCTTAATTACCTAAAAACTTATTTGTTTTCGTTTATGTTCGAACGGAATCATAATAAAAACGTTTATGAAGAGAACGAAATTATAAATCGTTCTTGTTCAATAAAGTTTTTAACAATTTTAAACCGTTTTTTCCCATTTTTGGCCCTGCAATACGAAACAAAAGTACCTTATAGGTTTAAACTTGTTGTGGCACGTGCCATTCATTCAGCTTCCTGCAGAATAAACCGTTTTCTGCCGACTTCCAAAAAGGAGATGGTACTCAATTCGAGTGTATGTTTTTTTTTATGTGTGTTACCTCATAACTTTGTACTGGGGGCATCTATTTCGATGATCCTTTTTTATATAAAAGCTGATAGTTCTCGTGTGGTCCCATATGAATTTGATCAAGGTCAGAAAAATGTTTATTGAGTTATTCTTATATTGAAGTAGCTTATATTGAAGTCGGCATACAAAATTTTTAATTTTAAATTATTTACGTTTTCATATTACGGTCTTATTTCGTTTTTGTTCAGAACAAAATGTTATAGTACAAGGAACTGTCCCAAACGTTTTAAAAACGTTACTTTTAATAACGTTTCCGAGCCCTGCTTTGAAGTCTGCTTTTACTTTTTATTACAATTGGTAAATTAAAAATTTTGTACAACCGACTTCAATATAAATAAAATGAGAACATCATCAATGTAGTCGAAGTCAATTAAATACGCATTATTAAGGATAACTCAGTAATTACAGGTCAGATCTTGATCAAATTTATACGGGACTATGTGAGAAGCACCAGCTTTCAAATAAAAAAGAATCATCAAAATCGGTTCATCTAGAAAAAAGTTATGAGGTAACACTTGTTGAACGAGGGCTAATAATTTTCTGCTCACGAGATGTCGCTAGTTGACGCTGAGGTACTTACTTACTACTTACTTATACTACTTACTGAGGCTCTTATACTCTTTAGCCCCGAAAAAACTGGTGTGCACTATAGTGATCATATAGTTACATTATTTGTTTAATTACAATTTTATATAAGTAATCATTTTTACTTACAGTCAGTACTTACAAAAATCGCAGCCGAAAGATGACCTCACCACTGAAGAACTACAGCCATACATTGAAGCGGTTCTCTCACAAAATAAGGGTCCATGGTCGACTCGGGTCGCAGCCTTACTGATACGGTGTAAACTGGAAGCTAACCACAAGCGCACAGTAGAGCGTGCCATGTTACAGTGCGAGACTATCGTGAATGATAAAACCGGCGTCGCTGGTACGAGCAGGTGGGTGATATCTTTACAATTATTGCTTGCATGATAGTGGCATAATGGAATGATTGATTCTCTTAGCTTATTACAGTGACAGAGCTTTCTTTTTTTCTTATTATAAGCCAGTGCTTGACCACAATCTCACCTGGTGGTAAGTTGTGATGTGCCCTAGATGGTAAATCGCACTGTCTTAGCATAAAAAAGCCTGTTCACTCTTGCCTTGAAGATGCCCAGATTGCATTCGGGCGGAAAGATAGACGCCGGCAAATTATTCCACTCCTTTGCTGTACACATTACAAACCATTTGGTTCTAATGTGTGGACAATTGACAACAAAGAGGTGAACCCCGCCGACCGTCTAATTGTCCGATGGTAGAAAGGGGAGGGAGGAATTAAAACATGTAATTCCTGAGTACAGTGGGTGTTGAGTGTTGATATTTAAAAAGTGTATATACGTTAAGTGCATCTCATAATTAAAGACATATGTACTAACTAGCTGTTCCCCGCGACTTCGCCGGCGTGTATATTAGGGTTTTAATGTTTTTGCACGGAACCCCAATTCTTTTTCTAAAATAAAAGTAGCCTAAGTTACTCCTTATAACATCAGCTATCTTCCAGTGGAAGTCCAGTCAACATAGGGCCAGTCATTTCGCAGATTAGTCGAAACAAATAGACAGACAGACAAAAATTAAATAAAATGTGTTTTTGTTATAAGTACCGTATATATTTTCCTATGCCATAATATAGTATTATTACTATATTATTGCATGCTGAGCTGTTATTTTTATATTACATTTTTATATTACAAACATTTATTTATTTGTATAGATTAGCATATTTTCACTTCACATATCGAAAACTAACTATCTTTAAATATAATTTTATATTATTGTTAGTTGCTACGAGGGCGGCACTGAAAATTTCGGGAATCAAGGAAGTGACACAACATTACTATTTAAAAATGTATTTATTGCTTTTCGAAGTATTCTCCGCGAAATTTGACACATTTTTCCATACGATGGATATACTTCAATGACCAATCATTGAAGCAACCATTCCATTCGGAAGTTGTGGTCTCCAAAATGGCCGTTTTGTAGGCGTCCACAGCTTCTTCAAGTGATGAAAATCCCTGTCCACGCAATTTATTCTTTATTTTAGGGAAAGTATAGAAATCATTAGGGCTTAGGTCGGGGCTGTACGGAGGATGGTCTAATAATTTAAAAACTCTTTTGTTCTGTGTGCGGTGTGAGAACTCGCATTGTCGTGATGGAGGATGATGCGGCGGTTGCAGTTCTCTTTACGGAGTTCAGAAACGACCTGTGGCAAACAAATGCTAGCATACCATTTTGCATTAACCGTTCTTTGTCCCTCAAGAGGAATAGTCGTAACATGGCCGGTTTTGGAGACAAACGTGGCCACCATTTTTTTTCGTACGCGTATATCCAGGATTCGTCACCTGATACGATGTTGTATACAGCATTTGAGGATCCTGCGTGGAATCTTTTGGGAGTTCTGACGCACCAAGTAACGCGAGCCGCTTTTTGCTCTTCACAGAGCGAATGCGGTATCCATCGGGAAAACAACTTTTTTACACCTAATTGTTCATGCAAGATTATTTGTATTTGACTCATGCCAATGTCTAAAGTTGCCTGAATTTCGCGGTATGTCACATGTCGATCTTCCTCAATCAGCTTACGCACAGCATCAACGTTTTCTTGGGTGACTGTAGTTTTTGGACGACCTTGACGGGGATCATCACTGAGCTTGACACGTCCACGTTGAAATTCAGCAAACCAGCGATAAATTGTGGTTTTGGATGGGGCTTCATCACCAAATGCAGAAATCATCCGGTCAACACACTGTTTTTGTGTTAAACCACTTCGAAAGTCATAATAAATCATCGCTCTTGAATTTTCTCGAGTCAATTCCATTTTCTCAACGACTAAACAAGTTTGACAAAACCTTGTGACAAGACCGAGAATCTTTTTTTTAAATAAATAAATGGTATTCGATTTTTAAAACCAAGGACTTTTCAATTAAAAAGATTTTAATATGACAGGAACAGTGGAAATATTTCATTCCCGATACTTTTAGTGCAGCCTATGTACAGTGGTATGCTTGGGCCGGCTTGGGGTTGGTTTTGGGATTTAATTTTATGAATTATAGGATCCCAAGCAGATGGCACCACCCAACATTCATCTTCTCTATTGAAATTAGGATGTTTTTTTTTTTAATTTCAATAGGCTCGCAAATCATCCTTGGTAGGAATCGGTGTTCTTTTGCGAGGATTTGTGGTCTATCAAATCTAATGCAATGGCGGGGACGATCTTGAACATGTTCACACAATGCAGACATCCCGGAACGTAGGTGCTTCAATTCAGCTATATGTTCTTTCACGCGGGTTTATATAGCTGATTTAATTTTTTTTTTATTTGAATATCATATGCATTGTCACGTGTGAAGACTAAGACCTTATATTGTGATTATACTGGTTCTCTATATCCTTCACACTGAAATACTGCAGTGCAAGTGCTGCAAGTGCTGCTATTTATACTGCTATGCAGCATAATCGTTAAATGTGAATTTGATCTGGCGATTTTTCGTGACTGATACGACTTATGGACCTCTAAAAAACGAGCTCACTTCTTTTTTAAAACTGACAACGCACCTGAAATTCCCCTGGTGTTGCAGTTGTTCGTGGGCGGCTGTCGACACTTGCTATAAGCTGATCCGCAAGTTCATTTGTCCCTATTTCTATATGATTTAAAATTAAAAATTTTGTACAACCGACTTCAATATAAATTATTAAGAATAACTCAAAACTATTAGTCAGACCTTGATCATATGGGACCACATGGGAAGCACCAGCTTTCAAACAAAAAAAGAATCATCGAAATCGGTTCACCCAGTAAAAAGTTATGAGGTAACACACATTTAACAACTTTATGCGTGGTAGAGCCATTGCTGCAGCTATATTAGTATTATAGTTTTTTTTTTTTATATAGGAGAGGGGGCAAACGAGCATGCGGCTCACCTGATGGTAAGTGACTACCGCCGCCCATGAACAACTGCAACACCAGGGGAATCGCAGATGCATTGCCGGCCTTTTAAAAAGGAGTACGCTCTTTTCTTGAAGGTCCCTAAGTCGTATCGGTCCGGAAAAATCGCTGATGGTAATCGATTCCACAAGGAAGTCGTGCGAGGAAGAAAACATCTTCTAAATCGCACAGTGGTGGACCGCCAATCATCCAGATGGTGTGGATGGTATCGGGAGTTCTGCCGCAATGTGCGTTCATGAAATTTGGCGGCTGGGATTAATCCGAACAATTCCTCAGAGCACTCCCCATGGTAGATGCGAAAGAAAATGCAAAGGGATGCAACATCTCTTCGCAGTGCCAATGAATCGAGCCGATCGGAAAGGGCTCGGTCGTCGACGATTCGAGCCGCTCTACGCTGGATGCGGTCAAGTGGAAGGAGCTGGCACTAGGGAGCCCCTGCCCAGAGATGAGAACAGTATTCCATGTGAGGCCGAACCTGCGCCTTGTAAAGTTGCAGGCGGTGTGCCGGCATGAAATACTGTCCCGCTCTGCTGAGCACGCCAAGCTTTTTAGAGGCCAATTTGGCCTTCTCTTCCAAGTGACCACGAAACTGCACGTCACTCGATATGTCGACTCCGAGGATACCGATACTGGCTGAGGCAAGAAGGGCAGTGCCTTGAAACTGAGGAGATACGACAAAAGGGTTCTTTTTAGCGGTAAACGCGCAAACTTGTGTCTTCTGAGGATTAAACTGGACTAGATTTAGTCGCCCCCAATCCGAGACTTTGTTCAGCAAAGACTCGACTTCAGACACAAGCTTGTTCCGGTACTCGGCCACGTTTTTCCGAGAAATATTGGCACGGCCGGTGTATAGAGCATCACCAGTGCTGTCATCCGCATAGCAATGAATGTTACCAGTTAGCAACATATCATTGATATGCAGAAGAAACAGCGTTGGTGATAGCACACAGCCTTGTGGAACACTAGCGTTAATAGGCTTGTAGTCAGAACATGCACCGTCTACAAGGACCTTGATGCTCCGATCTGCAAGGAAGCTGGTGATCCAATTGCACAATTTCTCGGGAAGCCCATAGGAAGAGAGCTTCGAAAGAAGCGCTTTGTGCCAAACCCGATCGAAGGCCTTCGCAATGTCCAGACTAACGGCCAACGCCCCTTGGACTCTACTGCCTCCGCCCATCTATGGGTCAGGTAGACCAGAAGATCACCAGCTGATCCACCCCGACGAAAATCGTATTGGCGGTCACTAATCAGCTGGTGATCCTCAAGGTACCGGAGGAGCTGGCAGTTAATAATGGATTCCATTATTTTGGAGAACAAGGAGGTGATCGCGATAGGCCTATAGTTGGACGGGTCTGAGCGGTCGCCTTTTTTAGGGATCGGGTGGACAAAAGCTGTCTTCCATGAATTCGGGACTACGCCTTGGGAGTAGGAGTACCTGAAAAGACGCGTTAGGACCGGTCCAACTCCGGAGCACATGTCCTCAGCACAATTGGGGGGATTCCGTCAGGCCCACTCGACTTCTGGATGTCTAGGGTGAGAAGTGCTTTGCGAACCGAGCGCTGTGAAAACAGCACATCCGGCATGGAGCACTCACACCGCGGGATGGTCGGCGGCGTTTTCCCCTCGTCATCAAGAGTCGAGTTGGACGCAAAAAGGAAGCCTAAAAGGTCAGTTTTGTCTTTTGCGTCTTGGGCCAGTGAGTCGTCCTCCCTGTGCAGAGATGGTAGTGATGGCTTACAGAAATTCCCTTGGACAGCCTTGGCGAGAGACCAGAATGCACGGGTTCCCAAAGGAAGGCGAACTAGTTTCTCGCCAATTCTGCCTATGTGCTCTGACTTTGCCTTGGCAATAACTCTTTTGAAGGACCTGGAGGCGAAGTTATACTTCTTTTTAAGTGTGCTGGTGTTTACATCCCGAGTCGCCGAAGCCGCAGCCCAGGCTCGATAACACTCCTGCTTACTGCGTAATGCAGTCTTACAGAAGCGACCAAACCACGGCTGAGATCTGCCTCCGATGGGTACCACAGATGATGGAATAAATTAGCCCTGTAGCACCACATCAGTGACAGAGTCAGCAACAGCGCTGGGATCATCCGGCGAGAAGCAAACCCGCCCCCATGGATAGGATGCAAAGAAAGACCGCATTCCGTCCCAATCCGCCGACCTGTAATGCCAAATACGGCGGCAACCTGCAGAACGCAACCGCGAAGGGCGCTTGAGTGGCACCACACTCCGGATCAGACAATGGTCCGAAGAGCCGAGAGGGGCATCGACGGAAACCTGATATCCGTCCGGATGAGAGGTCAGCAGAAGGTCCAACAGGGAAGGTGTATGATTCTCCACATCTGGAATCCGCGTAGGCGAAGTAACCAGTTGTATCAGACCATATGCCAAGGCAAAGTCATAAACAGATCTCCCCGCATGATCGGTTAAACGTGAACCGAGCCATTCGGCATGGTGGGCGTTAAAATCGCCAAGGATCACGATCTCTGCGGATGGGACCTGTTGTAGCAAGGAAAGTGTAGCCATTTGGACGTGGTCGATGAGTCGGTCTGTTTCGGCATTACCGCTATGGGACCTATAGAGGCACCCGTAAACGCGCGGATGGTCGTCGCTGTCTACGCGTAGCCAAAGGATGGACAGGTCCGAACCTTCAAGACTGCCGAGGCGTCGAGAACAGATGTCCTCTCTGACATACACGCAAACTCCAGCCCGAGGCACAAAGGAGTGCTCCAATTTGTACCCCGGGTAGGAGAGATACGAAATATCAGCCGGAGAGGAAACCTGCGTCTCGGTCAGAAAGGGCAAGGCCGGCTTCGCCGTCTCGAGATGGTAGTGGACGGCGTTTAGGTTAGAGTGAAGTCCCCTGATGTTGCAGAAATTCACGGATAGCGTGGCAGGGGTCGCCTTGGTATTGTTGCTCAGTTTGCCCCGAGCAGTTTTGTTTTTGAGCGGAATTTTGCCCCCCCCCCCCCCCCCCCACAACTTTGCGACAAAACGTTGGAATCTTAATTTTTAGGCCCTAGTAGAACATACCGACGCGCTTAGGCGCTTACGGCATGCAATTCTTAATAACTTAATGTTTTTTCTTTTTAATTTCTTTTAAAACGTCAATTAATATGTGTTAGTACGTAAGAGTACCCTCTTTTTTATATTAATTGAGAAGAGATAACGCAAGGCTGCGCCCAAACTATTTAACTAGTGTCTCTCTTATCCATTCTTCGTAGTTTCTATTCCACAACGCTAACAGTATGATGTAATAATATACATTTGTACCAGGCTATCATACCTTTGGGCTAGTGGTCTCCCAGCTGCTTGGACATGGCGACAGCAATTGGGCGACTTATACCTCAGCATGGGGCTGGTGAAGGCGGCCCTCGAGGAATATCAGCGACTGCAATTGTGGGAGGAAGTCATTGTCTGCTACACTTTGTTGCAGCTACGTCACAAGGTATGTGCAGTAACTTTGATAACTGGATGGAATACCTTGCATTTCACATTTACTGTTTATCGACGGTTCCGTGGCGCAGTGGCCTAGCAATAAGTTGCAGCGCAAGGGCCGCGGGTTCGAATCCCGCACGGAACAAGTATTGGATGAGAAAATCCTAGTGTGGAGGTAACGTTTTTTAAAAGAAAGATAAAAAAATAATTGTATTAGAGTTTTTAAATAAACAAATTATAAAAATAACGTGCTAAATAAAATATAATGAGTACTTCATAATGTCTAAGGTCTAAGGTGGCAACCGAACCTCCACCGGAGATTCTTAGCACCCCCTGCCCCGCCGTTACCATGGTCGCCACCGTAGCCAGGAATAGCGGGGCCGCCGGGGACTGGGGGCCGTTTCTTTGTTTCATAGGGGGGTATTTGCCATAGTTGCCACGCTTGGCGAGCGGGTTGGCAACCGCAGTTTTTTTTTATTGTTAGTTTTTTGTTATCAAGAAGATGCTGCTGCCCATCTCCTGCCTGTTACCCTTTGTCGCCTTTTACGACACCCACGGGAGGATATGGGGTAGTGGATATTCTTGACCGCCACTACATGGCTTACCTCAAACCTTGAAAACGAGACTGTACACCCAGTGCGTGTTGCCAGTGATGACATACGGAACTGAGACGTGGTCCTTCACTGCTGGCCGGATGAGGAAGCTCAAGGTCGCTCAGCGAGCTATGGAGAGGGCTATGCTCGGAGTTTCGTTATAAACTTAGGAATGAGGATATCCGCAGTAGAACCAGAGTAATCGACATAGCCTAACGGATTAGTAAGCTGAAGTGGCAATGGGCCGGCCATATAGCTCGAAGAACCGACAACCGATGGAGAAGAAAGGTTCTCGAGTGGCAGCCTCATACCGGTAGGCGAAGTGTAGGGCGTCCCCCCACGAGATGGAGTGACGACCTGGTAAGACATGCAGGAAGTCGATGGATGCAGGTAGCTCAGGACCGTGCTTTGTGGCATTCTTTGGGGGAGGCCTATGTCCAGCAGTGGACTTGTGAAGGGCTGTAATGATAATGATAATGATGACTTCATAATGTAATGGCGTGTAAGAATATCTACTATCCTATATTATTCTGTGGGTGTCGTAAAGAACGACTGAGGGATACTCAACTCAATAATGAATTGTGGTTTCCAACCCGCCTGACAACCGTGGCAAGTATGCCAAAATCCTCCATTAGAAGTATTTCTTATTTTGAGCCTTAGGCTTTTAGGTAGGCTGGTAATGGAGTGAATGAATGAAAGTTACAGTCTATATACGTTCCACTGCTGGGCACAGTCCTCCTCTCATTTCTGAGAGGGCAAGTAAATGTCCGCCGCGCTGGTCCAATGGTCCGCGTTGCCGAACTTCACATGTCTATGAATTTGCAATTAACAATTTCATTGGTGCCGGTGGGGATCGTACCCGGGTTGTTCGCGTACCGTATAATTAACAGCGAGCGCGTAGTCCCTGAGCTACCACCTACCACGGCTCTCTAAATAATGTAAACACTTAAGAATCAGGAATAAATAATATTCCTGATTCTTAAGTGTTTACATTATCTATTTATACAGGATTATGTTTCAAAGAGTAGCCAAATTTCGAACTTATGTACAAATATATAAATAATGATACACTGTTATAGCAGTTTTTGAAAATACGAGTAAATAAGGCTTCTAGTTTTATTTTATCCCAAATTGAAATTGATTTATGGGTAAAAACGTTTTTGCCTATCGATCTACCTTTACAAATGTGTGCTTGCGTAGTAAAATCAGTTAAAATAAAACATTACCACGTATTTTGAATTTAAAAGATAAATACGACAGAATGTTTGAGATTTTATTTTAAATTAATTTTTCTTCACCATTTGCCTATATTACTTTATTCTGAACCATCTGTGGAAATTTGGCCGGTTATTGCAAAATAACCCTGTATAACCTCGGTGTTGACTGGCTCATTGAGTAAAACTACTTTTACGGATTCTATCGCGTTTAAATAACTTGTTTTTATTAATTCCCGACGTTTCGTGTGCTTACATAACGTATATGCTATATGTTACAGCACCCATGGTCACGGGGCACTCGTACGTATATAAACGCGATATAATCCGTAAAAGTAGTTTTATTCAATGTGTAGTGTTCGCGTAAATAAGATATCATTATGACACATTGAGGTGATAAATGATATTATTGCTTTGCAAATAAAACACTAAGCACTTCGAATGTTTCTATATAATTGCAGGCGGCGGAGATCATACAACAGCAAATAGATGTAAAACCCACTGTTAAATTATATTGCCTTCTTGGAGACGCGACAGGTAATTTTAACCAACCAAAACATTATATTTATTTAGATAATAATATTGATGATTTTTTTTGATAATTTATTTAAAAGAAAACTTATCTAATGCTTTAAATTTCCAAATAATATTCCTTTTTCATAATGTATATTTTTAATGTACTTTAAGTACATTAAAAATATACATTATGAAAAAGGTTAGTTTTAATAAAAAGTAAAAGCTGACTCCATAAAACTGAAAAAAATTATAATTTTCACATAATAGCTTATAAAGTCGGTCCTAAGACAGTGCATAGAAGAATTTAATCCCTGACTAATTTTTAACCGACTTAAGAAAAAACTGCTGAGCAGTCTCTTTTAAATCTGAGTCAGTAGGTTGGCGGTGTTTCACCCTAGTGTATCTAGAAAATCACGTAAAGCCGTTGGCCGCCTGTTCCTCTCCGACCGTACCGCATTGCCGTCTTATGGGACTATGAGAGTGAGGGAATATAGAGTGCACCTGTGCTCACTTGGGCACTATAATCCTGTCCCTCGCAAATGGCTAGTTTCCGTTGAGACTGGCCGCTGTGACATAAATTCGGCCTTGAGGATTTTATTACAATAAAAAATGTAGGTAATAAATAATTTACTTGTTATTTTTTATTCCACAGATGACGTATCTTGGTATGAAAAAGCGTGGGAGTTTTCAGATCAGAAAAGCAGTCGCGCTCAAAGACACTGGGGTAACTTTCTTTTCGATCATAAACGTTATGAAGAATGCATACCGCATTATGAGAAATCCGTTGAAATTAATTCCCTACAGGAGAGCGTTTGGTTGAGATTGGGGTGAGTCTTTGTATTTATTATTTTTTATAGCTCCGTGAAAAAAAACTTGAACAGTGTATAGTCTGTTCGTTAAGATAGTGTCGGTACACCCATAAAATACTAAAAGTGCGCCTCCTTATTATTTTGCGTTTATTTTATTATTTTTTACTGTTTATTAAATAAATGCTCTTCTATTCTAAGAAGAAGATAGAATACTATTTTATTCTTATGGTTATTGTAATAAAATATGAATATGTATAAATAATAACCACAAGTTAGGTAAAAGGCTTATTACATTACACGATTTATCGGGCCATCGATTTACCAGACAGGGCGCTGCTTATTACACTACGCTAGAAATCGCTTCCTGCCTCAGTTGTTACTCGAACGTGGAAATGATTGCACGTCTAGCATTATGGCGCAGACTTTATCTAAACGTCAAAAAATTGCTTTATTGTTTTTTTTTTTACGTGGTAGAGCCATTACCACGAGCCACGTGACAACGCATCTGCATTTTGATTCGCATACGAGGATAAATGTAGGTGTCTATGGGCCACAGCAACCACTTACCATCGGGTGGACTGTGTGCTCGTTTGTCACCCTATCCTATAAAAAAAACTTTGGCTGGCGGTAACGTGCAAGGCCAAGCTAAAAAAAGGAAGAAAAGTTAAATGTGGATGAAAAAATATTTGCTCCTCAGAGAAAAACTATCGAATATGCAAATAGTCAGCGTTTTGGACCCAACAGACCTACGAAACTATTTTAAAGAGTAGGTGAAAACCAATTCGACGAGTTATTAAGCTTAGTAACGCCTTTGATAGAAAAAAAAAATACTTTAATGATTTCTTATATTTACGCGAACACTACACATTGAATAAAACTAATTGTACGGATTCTATCGCGTTTAATTTTTTTTTATTATTTCCGGTCGTTTCGGATGCTTTACAGTAACCAGTCCCCCGTGACCATGGGTGGTAAAGCACCCGAAACGTCGGGAATTAATAAAAAAAAAATTAAACGCGATAGAATCCGTAACAGAAGTTTTATTCAAAAGAATACTTTTTTAAGAGAGATTGGTTGTCACTTTACGATTTTGGCCACTGGAAACTCCTATCAAGATTTGATAAGGCATATCTTTGTAGATGTCGATGACATTGAGAAGGATCTTTTTCTTTAGCGCATGACATAAATACGAGTAATGATTTAGAGAGTAGATCGACATAGTAGAACTTTAAATAAACAAACGTGTAGACTCCACGCAACTGAGCTCCCTGCCTCCCTGTCGCTTATTACACTACACGATCCACAGCGTCAGCGCGGCAGGGAAGCAGGGCGGTCGGAACCACTCGGTCGCCCTGTTTAGGGACCCTGTCTCCCTGTTTCTTATTACACTACCCTGTCCCTGCGGGCAGGGCCCGAGAAATCGTGTAATGTAATAAGCCTTTAAAAAAAACCTTTCACCACGGTGCGGCGTTTTGCTTTATAATGTCAATTCTCCTGCGGGTGTACGCCGCTCGCGGCGATGTTTGATGTCGCGGCGGCGCCTTTGACAATATGCGGCACGTGCCAAGGCGGATCGACACAAAGGCGATCCTATCTAAGCAAACAGACTACATCGTATAGTATTGCATGCCTTAAGCGCAAAGCGCGTATGTATGTTCTAATAGCGCCTAAAAATCAAGGTTCCAACGTTTTGTCCCATGAAATCGTATCTAACAATCATATTGAACATATAAATGATATAAAGAGCACATTGTCAGAAAGATAAATCATTGTTGAACTTATTATTAATATTTATTTATTATTATTTATTTATTTATTATCGTCGCAATTTTACTACCGGTTAGTGCAGTCGCTTCATAATGACGTGACGGCTCTAATGCCGAACTTACAGTATTTTTGTAGCGTAAGCATACCTACTGCGCAAAAATAATTCGAAATGGCGTGTCAACCTAAACGTTCCGAAACCGTCGTAATCCACGAGTTCCTGGCCTTTGTTCAACAAAAATTGGACGTCATGGACCAGGTGTCTCTGGAGCAGATACTGATGACAAGCTTCACCGAGGACGAGATCGTCCAAGCGAAGAAGGTGTTAGCAGATTCAGCCGTGATCCAAATCCGTCTTATCACACGTCACAGGGATGAACGCGGTAAGAAAGACCTGTAAGACATCTTCAGGCTGTTCAATGAGACCGACCCAGATGACATCCCAACTTTCGTCGCGCGTGATCTCAACAAGCTGCCTCCCGTGACGTTCGATCACGTAGACGTCACCAGATTGTTGAAAGACAGCACCACGTTGAGAGCCGATGTTACCGACATCCGTTCCAAATTTGAGGAATCTGAACGAGCCTCAACAGAGCTGAGGAACGAAATCAATACGTTGCGCAACATAATTGCAACATCTGCAAATTCACCGCCGTCGCAGAATGTAAATACGACACGCGGTAACCGTAATAGTAGTCATATTTTACCGATGATTGCGACTCCGTCACGCGATACCGTCTGTCAGCGGGTTGATGGCCGTGAAACTAGGGTGACCTCGGTCGTCATTGCATCACCACCTCAACCCTTGACTGAACCCATTAGTACCCCTCCGCCGAAGCCAACCTCAAAACAAGGGAAGACGTTTGCGGATGTTGCCCGAAAATCTTTACAACCGGCACCCTCTTGTGGTCGAAAGCGGAAGAATGTGGAAATAAAATCAGTTCCAGTGGTGACCCAAGACAAGATTGATAAGGACGGGTTTACTCTTGTTGAGAAGAGACGTCGGTCGCGACCCGTCTGTAACCAGCGTGGGACCGCGAAAATAAACGCGAGTACAACTCTGCGTGCTGTGTAGCCAACCATACAACTCTACATCTCCCGTTTGGACAAAAGTACGTCGGGAGAAGACGTCCTGCGTTTCGTGGAATAACGAAGCCGATGCCGCATTGAGGATCCGATCTCTTTACATTTGCAGCGTCTGGAGTCTAATAGGTCAACGAACTTCAAATCCTACGTACTCCAGGTTCCTGCAAAACATAAAGAGACATTCCTCGCTCCCGATTTCTGGCCCTCTGGGGTAGTGTTTCGCCGATACAGGGACGCGCCAAAGAAAAAAGTTCCCTAAATAGTGTTAAGTTATGTCTATATTTTATATATATTTTTAGGTTTAAGTATGTATATATTGCTATGGGCCAATGTTCTTAATTTTTAAGTCCTTGATGCCTGAAATAAAGTTATTGTATTGTATTGTATTATTATTTTTTAAATCGATCAATTGCTATTTTACATTAAAAAAAAACAGTTTTAGTGACTTAAGGTGTAGATTTATCAAGTCCGCATGGAGAAGAAGATAACTTTTGAAAATACAATTGTTCAGTTCAATCTATTTTTTAAACTATTCATCTATTATGTGGGAAGTCATGGAATGTAAAATAAACAAAATTTAATTTTGTTTTATTTAGTTATAATTAATTTTTGTCGGCTGAGAAATAGCGAAATTTTCGGTGTTTTAGCAGCCTTGTATTAATTTATTTTACTAAATTCACTTTGCCTCACTCCCGGCCACAGAGTACTTTTTTACTCAGGGCTCAGCCGCCGTCATGAGTGCTGAAAAATATCGATCGCTTTAGAAATACAAAATATTCCAAAAACCAAGTTTGATACATACTTGACCAAGGTAAGATATTATTATTTTTAGAATCACAGATTTTTATTACAATATTTTGTTTCGCTAAAAGTACGCAGGATTTATATATAATTATACATATACGTCTTGGAGTTTATGGAGACCTGAAGGTGTACTTCGATATCTGCTACTGGAACTCCTCGACGAGGAGAACTAGATCTGCCGAATTTGGGCTCGTTTTGTTAGTTATGAATAGACATTGCCTTCGGACTTGACGGAGTGACTTGACGGTGTACTTCGGTGACTGCAACTGTAACTCTTTGACGAATAGAACTACAATTTACATTTTGTTTAAATTTTTTCACTATCATATGAGCATTATGAGTCGTGTACTTTTGGATTTTCCGAACTTTTTTTAATTGTAGTTTGACATAAAATTATTGGAATAAGGTTATTAGTGAAAACTTGTGTGTATTTAACCGATTCGTTGCGGCACCAATTTTCGACAACTTTTAGCTGTGGCGGCGAACAAGTATTTCATGACACGTCTGACGTGTCAAGCGCCTCATACGCCACACACAAAAGTAATCGATGGCACGCCTGGCGTGTCATCCGCACTGAACCGGTTAAACTACTATAAAAAATAGGTATAATCATGTTATACGTAATTTTTTTAATGCACAATTGGATTTACCAATAGTTTATTTTACGTTGTTATTAGTAAAATGCTGCTGCCCATTTCCCGTTTCATTTCTCTGTTGCCTCTTACGACACCCACGGGATAATACGGAATAGTGAATTACGCCGCTTCAACGCGGCTTATTCTTTCACATATTTTAGAATGAGAATAGAATCATTTTTATGCAATATATTATATTACATGTAACATGTAATTCTTGTAAAGTTGCCAACCCGCTTCCCAAGCGTGGCAACTATGGCAAATATCTTCCCTAGAGGCAATCTAGGAGAGCCTATCTACAGCAGTGGACTTTAGCAGACTGTAACAGTTAACGCTATTTACTAGATGTCGCTGTCGGCGTATCTTCATGTCAAAGTCAAAACATGTTAACCTATTTTTCTTTGTTTCTAGTTATGCTGCCTTGATCACCGAAAACTGGGAGTTGTCAGCTAAAGCGTATCGTCGATATACCTATCTCCACCCCAACACGTTTGAAGCATGGAACAATTTGGCTAAGGTGTACGTAAAGCAAGGAGATAAAAATCGGGCATACAGGGCGCTGATGGAAGCACTTCGCTTTAATTATGATAATTGGAAGGTGAGTTTTATTAACTTTAAATAAAAAACCAAACTTCAAGAATAGATTGTAACATTACGAGTAATAATGATTTCTTACGTTTACGCGAACACTACACATTGAATTTTATCGCGTTTCATCATCATCATCATCATCATCATCATCATCATTACAGCCCTTCACAAGTCCACTGCTGAACATAGGCCTCCCTCAAAGAATGCCACAAAGCATGGTCCTGAGTCACTGGCTTCCATCGACTTCCTGCATGTCTTACTGGGTGGTCACTCCATCTAGTGAGGTGCCACTCCACACCTCACCAACCGGTACGAGGCAAACACTCGAGAACTTTGCTTCCCCATCGGTTGTCCGTTCTTCGAGCTATATCGAGTTTAATTAACAAATTTTATATTCCCGACGTTTCGAGTACTTTACAGCACCAATAGTAACAGGTCATAGTTGACCACGGCTACCTGCAGTTTGAAATGATTAATTTTTGACCTAAACAGTTACTAATAATGCCATAAAATATTTCCGAAACGTCGAAAACATAAAGGATCTGTAATTAAATATCTATTTTATTCTTTCAGCTCTGGGAAAACATCATTATCGTTAGCATGGATACAGGTCACTTCGAAGACGTGCTCCGTGGTATCCACCGTATTCTCGATCTCCAGAAGAAGTTTGAGGATGTGGAGGTGTTGTCTTTGCTTGTGCGCGGAATTATTCAAGATAGTAAAGATGCGGACGGCAACAGTGCGGCCAGGTAATACACCTTTGTTGTTTTAAAAAAAATCCTCTCAGTAGAATTTTATCCTGTATCGTGGAGGCGGTTTACGTTAATTGTACAAGAACAAACATCCTGACCTGGAACAATTATTTGGAGGTCAAACAATAATTCGTTCCGTGCAGGATAACTTTTTTATAGAATATTGGTGACAAACAAGCATACAGCCCACCTGATGGTAAGTGGATGGTGTGGTCCATAGACATTTACATTTATCCTCAATTAAGAATCAAAATGTAGATACGTTGTCAACCCTGAGGATTACGATAGAATGCCTCGTTTCCAGTAAAAAGGGTCTCCGGTTCTCTACGCTCACCATACGAAACGCAGCAAGCATTAAGCTGCTATTTTACCTGATGATAAGTGGATGCTGAGGCCCATAGACATATGACATCTATCTCTGATTATTATAAATCAAAATACAGATGCGCTGTCACCCCTAAGGTCTAAGATGAAATGCATCGTTTCCAATAAAAAGGGTTTCTGATTCTGTACTCTTACCATACAGTAGCATTATGCTGCTATTTTATGCTACTGTTCTGTGAGAGCGTGGTCCTACCGCGGTCTAGCTGACCCATTCGTGTTACAGTGTCATAGGTGCGAAATGCTTGGAACAACGATTGCTATTCACCAAAAGGGCTTAGCGAATATCGCTATAACCTTTTCATTATTAGCTTTTATACCCTTCTATAATTTTCAGGTTACGTAAACGCGTACTTGAACTGTTTGGCAGAATTACTTCTATACATCAGAATAAACCAGAAATATGGCAGTTGTACTCCGACCTTAGTACGACTTATTTGTTAAAAGCACAGCGCCTTTTGAAAGCGTATAAGGGATACACACAAGTAAGTTGTCTTATGTCCGTAAACATTATCTAATAAGTTAAATTATTACTTGTAATGTTATGAAATGTTTATTTACAGAGTGGTAATTGGGCAAACGATCCAGAAACTTGTAAAAAAGTTATAGAACTCGCTCAAGTTCTTTTGGAATACAGCTTAAAAGCGAGAAAAGAGGCAGAAGAAAATGATAAGCAACAGGCCGATCAGCTGTTATCGTCTGCCCGTTTGACTGGACAGGGGGTTATAAGAGCTGCTGAGAAACAAGACTGGCCGGAAACAAAACCGCTACTTGAACAATTAAAACAACTATTTGATAATGTTACAGATTATATGAAATCACTTATGTGAAACAATAATAATTATTATTTCAATAGCATTTTTTATAAAACTAAAATGACAAACCTACATAATAGTAAGTGGCTACTGCAGCCAGTGGACACCTGCAACCTACTTCATACAAAGAAGAACAGATGGGTTGTCGCCTTTGAAGACTAAGCTGTAATGCCTTGAACAGGCTGTAACTATACAGGCTTCTATACCGTTCAGACCGGAACAGCGGTGCAAGTACTGCTACTAGGCGGCCCGAATAGTTAAGAGCGTGGTACCTACCCACCTACCGACGTAGGGAGAAGATTTCCTATCATCTAGTCAATTTTATTAGTTTACCTTATATTTTTAACTAATTTATCTAAAAACTTTTTATACAGAATGCATTAATTATCAAAAAGGTTTTTAAACATTAATCTTGATATATTTATTAAAATTAAGCTTAATTGCTTTACATTGCTTACATATGCCCTTGTAGTGGCGGGTAAGAATACCCACTACCCCATATCTTACCGTGGGTGTAGTAAAAAGCGACAGAGGGCAACTGAGGCAGAAGATGGGCAGCAGCATCTTTCTAATAATAGCAAAAACCAATAAAAAACCGCGGTTTCCAATCCGCTCGCCAAGCGTGGCAACTATGGCAATATATCATGAGCAATGACACTAATAAACTGCCCCTAGTCCCCGGCGGCCCCGCTATTCCTGGCTACGGTGGCGACCATGGTAACGGCGGTACAAGGGGTGCTAAGAATCTGCGGTGGAGGTTCGGTTGCAACCTAAGACGACTCGACCTGGCAACTTATAACGCACGCACTGAGGACTGACGAGTAGATCCTGGAGCTCGAAGAAGAGATAGACAAGTTGCGCTGGAATATTATAGGATTATTCGAGGTCCGAAGAGAGGAGGAGGCCACGGTAATTTTCGAATCCGGCAACTTGTTCTATCACCGGGAGGGCGACAATCTATCCCAATGAGGTGTCGGATTTATTGTCCACAAGTCTCGTTAACAATGTTATAAAGATGGGGAGTGTGTCCACGAGGGTTGCATACCTTATACTCAGAATCACCAAACGGTATTCGCTGAAGGTCATACAGGTTTACCCACCAACCTCGGCACATCCCGATGTGGAGGAAATGTATGAGGATATCTCTAGAGCCATGCATTCCTCCAAAACCTACTATACGGTGTTAATAGGAGACTTCAACGCAAAACTAGGCACAAGAGAGAACTGTGAGCTAAAAGTAGGGAAATTCGGAATAGGGCAACGGACCCCAAGGGGCCAGCAGCTGGCCGACTTTATGGAGAAAAAGCGACTCTTTATGATGAACTCTTTCTTCCAGAAAGTGGACCTGGTCGAGCCCGACGGTTCGACAAAAAATGAGATTGACTTCATTATGACGACCAGACGACAACTGTTAAGTGATGTCTCAGTGATCGCGAGGGTGAAAACGGGTAGCGATCACCGAATGGTTAGAGGCACACTGAACCTAAACGTTAAGTTGGAAAGGTCTCGGCTAATGAAGTCAACGCTCCGTCCCTCTCGTGCTCTAGTCCAAAGTCCCGAAACCTTTCAGCTCGAGTTACAAAACCGTTTTCAGTGCCTGGAAAACTGCAATGAAGTGGACGATATTAATGATAAGCTCGTGAAAACTGTCCATGCGGTCGGAGCTAAGTTCTGCAAGACCCGCCGCAGAAGAACACAAAAACTCTCCGATCACACTCTTAATCTCATGACTGTTAGACGGGAAATGAAGCTGCAGTCTTCAACAGATTTGGCAGCATACATGCAACTGAACAGACAGATCTCCAAATGTATGCGGCGGGACTTACGCAACTTCAATACAGCTTGTATTGAAGAAGCGATCGAGCGGAACCAAGGCTCCAAAGTCTTTGCCAGAGATCTGTCTGCCAGAAAGAGCTAACGGTCAAAGCTGAAGACCGAGTGTGGCAGCATCGTTTCCGGGACATCTGAGATTTTGAGTGAGATTGAGAGGTTCTATGGGCAGCTGTACACGTCATCGTTGAAGCCACACGCAAGTGTGAGTAGCGATCCAAGAGCGAGTCTTATCCGACACTATTTCGAAGATATTCCGGATGTCAGTCTGAGTGAGATTAAAATGACTCTCCAGCACCTTACAACGGCAAGGCCCCGGGCGAGGATGAAATTACAGCGGAGCTTCTGAAAGCGGGTGGAAAACCGGTACTTGAAGTCCTTCAGAAGCTCTTTAGTTCCGTCCTCCATGGTGGTACTACTCCGGAGGCGTGGAGTAGAATTGCGGTGGTCTTGTTCTTCAAGAAAGGCGATAAAGCTCTCTTGAAGAACTACAGACCGATTTCCCTTGAGCCGCGTCTACGTGCTGTTTTCGAGAGTCATTACGAATCGTTTCGCACGCAGACTCGACGACTTCCAGCCTCCCGAACAAGCCGGTTTCCGAAAAGGCTTTAGTACCATAGACCACATACACACCCTTCGACAAATTGTACAGAAGACAAAAGAGTACAATCTGCCACTTTGCCTTGCGTATGTGAACTACGAGAAAGCCTTTGATTCCGTCGAAATTTGGGCGGTGCTAGAGTCCCTTCAGCGGTGCCAAGTTGACTATCGGTATATCAAAGTGCAGAAGTGTTTGTACAGTAGAGCTACGATAGATATCCGAGTACAGAACCAGAGTACGAAACCTATCCAACTGCAGAGAGGTGTAAGACAGGGTGACTTTATATCCCCGAAACTTCACCGCTGCATTGGAAGACGTGTTCAAGCTTCTGGACTATAAAGGATACGGTATTAACATCAATGGCGAGTACATCACTCACCTTCGATTTGCCGACAATATAGTTCTTATGGCAGAATCGCTGGAGGACCTAAGCACTATGCTCAATGACCTCAATAGTATCTCCCAATGGATAGGTCTTATGATGAACATGGACAAAACAAAGATCATGTTTAACGATGTCACGTGTCACACCTATGCCGGTAGTTGTTGGGAGCACTCAGCTCGAAGTTGTTGACGAGTATGTTTACATGGGACAAATAGTCTAACTAGGTAAGTCCAACTTCGACCGAGAGGTCAATCGACGGATTTAACTCGGTTGGGCAGCGTTCGGGAAATTACGGCACAACTTCTCGTCAGGTATACCTCAAAACTTGAAAACGAGTCTATACAACCAGTGCGTGTTGCCAGTGATGGCCTATGGAACTGAGACGTGGTTCTTCACTGCTGGCCGGATGAGGAAGCTCAAGGTTGCTCAGCGATCTATGGAGCGGTCTATGCTCGGAGTTTCTCTGCGTCATAAACTTAGAAATGAGTATATCCGCAGTAGAACCAGAGTGACCGACATAGCCCAACGGATTGGTAAGCTGAAGTGGCAAAGGGCCGGCCATATAGCTCGAAGAACCGACAACCGATGGAGAAAAAAGATCTCGAGTGGCGGCCTCGTACCGGTAGACGAATTATAAGGCGTCCCCCCACTAGATGAAGTGACGACCTGGTAAGACATGCATGAAGTCGATGGATGCAGGTGGCTCAAGACCGTGTTTTGTGGCATTCCTTGGGGGAGGCCTATGTTCAGCAGTTGACTTGTGAAGGGCTGTAATGATGATGATGATGATGATGAAGAGAAAAGTGTGGTTTGCAAGATGGTGTTGTGACCAGGATTAAGATAGGAATGCTTCGGTGGTTTGGTCACGTAGAAAGAATGAACGAGTAAAGAATGACAGAAGTGAACGGTAGAGTCGGGAAGGGAAGGGACGCCCCAGGCGAAAGTTTATCGACCAAATTGGCGATTTATTGAAGATGGGCCAGATAAAGAGTACTATTAACCGACAAGCATGTATGCGTAGGTACATGGATGTAAAGGAGGCGAGAGAGGTGTGTTAGGATCGTACGAAATGGAAGTCAATAGTCTCCGCCTACCCCTCTGGCTGACAGGCGTGAGTGTTTTTATGTTATATTATGTTACGTATCATTGCAAAAGAGAGCCGTACGGGCAATTTATAACCTAAATTGTAAAGAGTTCTTCAGAAAAAAAATTAAAGAAATAAACATATTAACTTCGGCATCGCAATATATTTATGAACATGTAATGTATATACATAAAAACATAAATAGCTTTAATAAGAATAGGGATGTTCATACCTTAAACACTAGGGACAAACATAAGCTTGTAATGCCAGTTACTAGACTCCACAGAATCAGTAATTTATTTATGGGGCAATGTATACGCTTTTACAACAAAATCCTAGAACATGTACAAAGTTTGTTAATAAACAAGTTTAAAAGTTTTATTAAAGAAAAAAAGCCGCATTGAATGGGTTATAGGTAGTTCACTGATTCTTTTGCTGCAATAATGGAGTGAGATTCAATAAAATCTTTGAAGGCGGTTTTGACTGCCTCATCTTAATTGAATTTTTTCCTTGCAAGAAATTATCCAATTTTCGAAAAAGGATGTAATCTGTTGAAGCTAGGTCCGGGGAACGTGGTGAGTGTCGGAGACATTCCAATCGCACCTTCTCTAATTTAGCGACCGTCTGTTGTGCAGTGTGTGCTCTAGCGTTGTCCTGAAGCAGAAGTGGGCTAGAAAAATTGACCAGTCTCGGTTGTTGTTTTCCGTCACAGATCCCTCGTGCTCTCTGAAACAAAGATTTTTCCACTGTAGCTAACTGTGATGGATGATAGTGCGCTTCACCATTTAAATATCGGTTTAAATCCTGAAAACACTATTGGTCACACGGTGTATAGGAAAAAGACCCATACCAACCGATATTTAAATGGTGAATCGCACCATCGTCCATCGCAGTTAGCTACCGTGGGAAAATCTTTGTTTCAGAGAGCACGAGGGATCCGATCCTTCGTGACAGAAAACATCTGGCCACCGAGCTTCAGCACGTCGAGCAAGTATTGCAATACAACAAGCTTCGGGTCCCGCGCCTACGTCACAGTGACCGAGTAAAGCAGGCCACAGTCGAGCGTGTGCCTGCTGTACTACCCTATGTCAGAGAAGTCACAGACAAGGTTGGCTACATCTTGAAGCGAGCTTCCATTAAAATATACTTAAACCGCCGAAGAAGTCAATTTTTTTAATTAATTTTCAATTAGTAAATTTTTACCATCCGTCAAGTGTCATATCCCTCTACAAGATGCAGGAGTGTACAAGCTGGATTGTGAATATGGTCTCTCTTACATAGGACTAACAAAAAGATATATAAAAACCCGCGTGAAAGAACATATAGCTTACTTGAAGCACCGACGTTCCGGGAAGACTGCAGTGTGTGAAGTGTGAACATGTTCAGTCGTCCTCGCCATTACATTAGATTTTATAGACCGCATATCCTAGCAAAAGAACACCAATTCCTACCAAGGATGATTCGCGAGGCTATTGAAATTAAAAAACATCCTAATTTCAATAGAGAAGATGGATGGGTGCTGCCATCTGCTTGGGATCCTATAATTAATAAAATCAAATCCAAACCCAAGCATACCACTGCAAGACTTCAAGATACTGTAAGTTCATTCTGCGTAGATCGGACCAAAAATTTATATTCAAAAACTGAAGGTAGCCGGGCTAACTATGACATTGGGACGTCAAACACCTCAGTACCCCACCGTGACCATGGGTGCTGTAAAGCACCCGAAACGTCGGGAATGAAAAAGTTAAATTAAACGGGATAAAATCCGTAAAAATTTGTTTCATTTAATATAAATTAATTTATTATTACACTTTCTGCAGGCTTCCTACAATAGTAGAAGAAAAACTTTAACTTTTGTGGTAAGCCTTTAAGCATTAATTAACATTTTGAATTTATTGATCGTTATTTGTAGGGATTATTATTATATTAACTCGAATTTTATCTGTTTCAGATCATGTATTTGGGCCGAGTTAAGTTTTCACCATGAGAATTTTGCTGATTTAAATTTACGTTAATGTTCTGTGAAGAATACTCATGATAACATATGTTATAAATACATATTACGCGTGGAAATATCGGTAGAAGCAATATAAAACATCAATAATAATAACAGTATTTCCCAAAAAATAAAATTTCATAATTATACCTATTTTTAGCTTTAATTAATCCCGCATACTCCTTTAAAGTAAATTCGAATAATTTTGGTGAAACCTCTCAAATGTATGGGAATAAACCCAATAGGTTTGTGAGGCTCGAGCCAAAATTACCCAAATTTGCCTTAAATAAAAAGTTTAAAAGTTACAGAATACACGGTTCGGAATTCCCGCAAAAAAAGTTTTATATGGGCGCCCACTGTGGCGCTTTTCATGTAAACTCAAACACGTGTTTCCTTTTTTTAATATGAAATTGGCGTTCTTTTCTTGGTAGAGAGTATTTGTGTTCTGTGATTCGTGTGGTATACTTATTTTTCGAGCTTTTGCAGTTTGAATTTAAATTTGGAATTCCTAACCAAACGCCAGATATTTGAGATCAAAGTGGCCAGTTCGACAAAACGCCAATTTCATATGTAAGAACTTAATACCCAATGCCACTTAGCCCTATGCGAGCCAAATTGCCCTTTATGGCCTTTATGGCGTCGTTGCGAGAATTGCGATTTGTTATCCTGTAATATTATGTAGGTTTTCAGTGACAAAACTGTAAAAATGACATTTTTCTAGAGGGTGGGACCTTAACGGCCGGCGGATTGCTACTCCTGTTTTATCGCATGGCTTAAATTGGATGTCTGCGCATGTAAACTATTAGTTTAAATGATGTAACAAGTGCTTTGATTGTTATACATTCTCATTTTTTTCGCTTAAGTACCTTCCGATTTTGTTATTGATTGTACGCCGAGTTAAAAAGTTAAAGTAAAAAGTGGATATAAAAAATAAATAAAAATTTCCTAAAAAAAATCGCAATGAGACGTTTCGGCTTTTTATGAACAAACGACCACAGATTGATAAATATGTAGCAAGCGCTTAGTGTTTCTATATAGTTTGTGGTAGCAAGCTACAAACGACGCCAGAATAGACTGTATTGGCGTAGATTTGTTTGTCTTTAAAATAATGTTTGGCAACTTATTTGACATGAGTTGTTGTTGACAAACGGATGACGTATTGTCATTTGTCAATGTGATGAGAACTGAATTGTGATTTGTGAATGAAAATGAATATGAATGTTGTTGTTGCAGTAGGAAATGGGAGTACATTATCTTAAAATTTGTTATTAATTTTGTATTATTATTTAATAAAATGTGCAGTTAGTTTATGTATAAATAATGGCAGCTCCAAATGAGGATGAAATATTAGAAGGTTTTCTGTGTCCTATTTGTAAAGCCGATTTGAAATCTGCTTCTCAATTAACGAATCATTTTGAGAGTTTACATCAAGAAGAACAGGACGTCCTTAAATCTTTAAAAGACATATTTGGAAAAGCGAAAAAAATTATATTAAATAATGAAGATAGCGATTTGAAAGAAACATTTGATCGGGCGTTAAAATTTAATTCCCAAGAGTACTATCCTAGCGAAGAACAAGTAATAGGCGTGTCACGTTGTTCTACGGACTATTTCAAGGGTGTCCGATCAGCAAGACTAGAAAGATATGCAACTGAAACGAATAAGCTGCTTATTCGATTAGATAAGCTTGTTTGTAATATGCCCAGTGAGCCAAATCAAAGAAAAGTACATGAACAGGAAGTGAGTTATTTTAGTGACTATTTTCGTAGGTGTTAATGCTTGCAACCATTAAATGTAATTGCTTTAGAATATTTTACTTGATTTCTCTTTATTAATTACATTTTTCTAGATGTGACTTACTGTTTATTATGATGAAAAACAAAATAGATTGTATTTTATTAATTAAAATTACATTATCCTATTGTAATTGGAAAATGTATATTTCCCTGGATGGTTATAATATAATTGTATTTAATTAGAAGTTTTCTATATTCATTTTGTCATTACATTTTAACTCTACTATATTATTGATTCTAGGTGGTACCGTGGTTGGATGGGTCTTCAGTGAAACTTTGTCCCAATTGTGCAAAAGCTTTCAATCTTACTAGGAGGAAGCATCACTGTCGTCTTTGTGGGTCTATATTGTGCCATGACTGCTCTGTTTTCCTTGATATAAATGTTGCAAGTAAGTACTCTAGTAGTAACTCATAGCAAGAAGTCTATGGATGTAGGTGGCTCCTGAGCCCAAGGAATGCTCCCCCAAGGAATGCCACAAAGCACGGTCCTGACTGTGCTTTGTGGCATTCCTTGGGGCATATGTTCAGCAGTGGACTTGTGAAGGGCTATAATGATGATGATGATGAAGTACTCTAGTGCAGTGCAGTAAATTGGATTTCATGTTATATTTTTTTTTAATTTAAGGAACTAAAAAGTGGCAAATCCATTTATTACAAATTATCTATATTTTTGATGTTGACAAAGTGGTGGTTAGTTTCTGCTACTGTACTTGAAATTATCTGCACCAATTACTTTGTCGATACATTAAGTTAATATTTATTTAAGACTAGTGATCCGCCCCAGCTTCTCACAGGTGATTTCTGGATCTCGACAACAGTGCCACCTAAAGGGTCCAATTGTGAATTGTTTGTATAATACAGGGATCCACTATAAAACACACAAAAAATTTCATCAAAACTAGTCCTAGACTAACAGACAGCAATTGATTTTTATATATAGAGAAGATTAACAAAAGAACAAATTTAAAAAAATTAATGTCCCTTCAAAGCCAACAATGTAAAAGGTGCCAAGTATTACACAAAATTTATACAAGTTAAACTAAAGGTTAATAAAAGGCAATCAGATCAGGACTAAAAATGTTGTTATTTTTAAATAAATCTAATATAATTTCTCTAAATCAGTTCACTGATTCTGTGGCTATTTTTCTATTGACTTCAAAAAGAAGGAAGTACTCAATTCAACTGTATGATATTTTTTCTGTGTTACCCCATAATTTTTTTCAGATTGAATCAATTTCAATGATTCTTTTTTATTTGAACGCCGGTTCTTCTCGTGTGGTCCCATATAAATTTGATGTAGGTCTGACCAATAAATAGTTTTTGAGTTATTCTTAATAATTTATATTGAAAGTGGTGGTACAAAATTTTTAATTTCAAAATTATTTTCCAAACGATATATTTTTCAACCAGATCAAAGATCAAATTTCAACCAGATCTGATAATAATTTAAGTCTGTTTATATTTTTTAATCATCTGAAATATATTAAATATCAATTTTCAGAGTCAATAGTTGATCCATCTTTACCTCAAGCTTTAACACAGTCAGATCAAGAAGTAACTGAAAAAAATGGCCTAAGGCTCTGTGAGCACTGTTTTAATCTAATAGAGCTGCGGAAGCAAATCCAGGATAGTCGAAATGCAAAGACTGTTCTAGTGACAGCATATGAACAAATGCGGAGTTTGATGGATCAGGCTAGGCCCGCTGTTGCAATGTATGAAAAGGTGGATTCATATTTAATTCATTTTATATGCTTTATGCACTTGTTTTATTATTAATATTAAAATGTATTTATATGTGCTATTTATTTTTTGAAATATTTTCATTAATTATTATCTATATGTCTTATCATTTTGTACTTTATTTTATTTGCTTATAGGTATCTTTATAATAATAGGTATATGTTACAGTCAAAACTTTCCTAGTCAAAATTACTTTTGACCGAAAAAAACAGTTAAAAGTACTTTGACTAAAGAGTTTTGACTGAAAAAAATTTGTTTTTGATCAAGGCTGGTACTTTAAATCACTATTAACCACGAGTATTAAGTAAAGCAAGTGTTTGATATTTTAAAGAACATTTATTGACAATTGATTTTAGAATCAATTAGTTCTTCATACTATTTATGTCTGACAGGTTCAACTAGGTGACAGCCTCACTTCAACCTACAGTCGCTGATATTACTTTTTCAAGTATTAATAATTGTAGGTCTGGGTGAAAAACTATTATGTCTCAAAGTTTGGTTGTTAACCAGTAACAAATCGCTTTTGACCAAAGCCCACAATCCGAAGCACTTGAATGCTTCTAATGCATTCAAAATTGCAAAAATTACTTTTGACTGACAAAAGCATTCTAAAGTGGGATACAGTTATGACTGTAACATATACTGGGAGTATTCTCGTAAATTTTTAAGAATTATGTATTTGCCCACCAAAAAACGTTATGCATTATTTTCTATATTTAGATGTGTCAAAGCCTCTTTGACGGAGAAACAACGTACAACTTGTCGGATGTGAACGCATTGCGCGGTCGCATTGGTAAGCTGGCAGAGGGAATTGATCTACTGAGTAAGCAGATCGCTAGCTTTCCAGTGGACCCTGGAACGCGGCAGGCAAAACTACAAAATTCCATAAGACAAGCTGCGGCACATTTTATTAAGGTATGTAATTATGAATATATCCATTTTTCTATGGTTGGTGAACCACACTCGCGGTTACGACCACGAGACCAAAAAAAAGGAAAAATGCGACTCAAACCGCGTAAAAAAGTTTGTAACGTTTATGGACCTACTGCAGTGTCAGTAAATGTAGTACAAAGTTGGTTCAAGCGTTCAGTCCGGAAATTAAGATGTCAAAGATGCAGCTCGCTCTGGTCGGCCTCATACGGATAAAATCGATGCCATTTTTAAAAAAGTAGAGCAAGGTTGTCATATTAGTAGTTAAGACATAGCCGAGGAATTGAGCCACTCAGCAAAAATTGAGAAAGCTTGGCTGGAAAGTGTTAATGCATCCACCATATACTTCCATATAGTCCTGACCTTGCACCCTCAGATTTTCACCTGTTTCGGTCTCTTCAAAATTCTTTGGGTAATGTTAGGTAAACATCAAGAGAGGACTGTCAAAACTACTTGTCGCATTTTTTTATCAAAAATTCTAAGATTTCTACAGCAACGGGCTTATGTCATTTACCTACAAGATGGCCACAAATTATAGAACCAAATGGTACATAATATATTATAATTAAACTTATTAAACTGAAAAAAAAAGTCTTGAATTTGTATATAAAATACGAAGAAACTATTTCCCCGACATTTAGAAAAATTAAAACATATAGTAGTGTTATTTACATACTTTCTTATTTTAAACTTGTTAATAAGTAGATATACATTTAAATATAATAACTCTTACTTTTAATTGAGATAATATTAACTATAATTATCCAGCAATCACACTTTCAACTGTCTTTTAAATATTTCTTTATTATTACATTGGTCTTCAGAAAATATTTCATTAAAATGCGTTAAATACGTATATATATATATATATATATATATATATATATATATATATAAATATATTATACGTTCATCGGCTATATTCGTAATGTTTCCAACTATATTTTGCGGCAGCCATGAAATCTTGGCGTATCCCATAGTTTATTTATGTTTCCATTAAAGGAATAGGTTATAATTATATATATAAATATATTTATATATAATAATATATAAATATATTTTTTACCTTTATCAGGAAGAACTCCTATCCTTACGCAAATTACCTACGGAAGCGCAGATAGACGAAGTTCGCAGAGAGCGGTACGAGCGGGCGCAAAAGCAGGTCCAGATGGAAAGGGAGAGGATGGAAAGAGAAAGAGATTGGAGAGGAGAAGAAGCTGGCGCGAGCGGAAGTCGAGTAGACAATAATCCAGAAGTAGACGATAATAACCCCTTAATAGAGCAAATGAATATCATCCGCGGCTATATAAAAGAAGCGAGAAAGGAGCTGAAATTTGAAGAGGTATGATAATTTTATTTTTTCGTGTGGTAGGCTTCCAATGGATTGCGGTATAACCTTGTTTGTACTAGGCGTAAAATTCCAGACATAGACAGAGAAAATCCTATTTGCAATAGGATAAGATCCATGTACAGCAATGGACTTTCGGACTGATGCAGATGTTAATATATTATTGCAGTTTTTTATTGAAGAGTATTTTTTTTTATAATGCGACCACATCACAGAATACTCAATTTTTTTTAGCGACAATCTCATTTTTCATCTTCGAATTTATCTGCACGTCTGTGCTACTGGACATGGTTCTCACTCGTTGTTGGATCAGATTTTAACATTTACGTAATGTGCACTACGTATTGGAACAAACACCAACACGTGTTAGAGTCCACGGGCTCTAACTTAATTAGTCTGTGCCAAGCCTTTGCCACAATGTGACACATTTGAAGGCTAAGTTAATAAATATACCTTCATTTCCACTAAGGTTCCGTTTTCACTCGAGACAAAAACTAAAAGCCAAGAATTAACTTTTTGTTTTTAAGTTCCTTACCAATAAAGTACACGAATTTTATTAGATTAAGATTATACAAGAGAGAATGGTGAGATGAAGGTAGGGAAACTTTGAATAGGATAGGAACCCAAGGGGCCAGCAGCTGGTCGATTTCATGGAGAAAGAGGGACTCTTCATGATGAACTCTTTCTTCCAGAAGCGGCCCCACAGGAAGTGGACCTGGTCGAGCCGCGACGGTTCGACAAAAAATGAGATTGACTTCATTTTAACGACCAGACGACAACTGTTCAGTGAAGTCTCAGTGATCGTGAGGGTGAAAACTGGCAGCGATCACCGAATGGTGAGAGGCACACTGAACCTAAACGTTAAGTTGGAGAGGTCTCGTCTAATGAAGTCAACGTTCCGTCCCCCTCGTGCTCTATTCCAAAGTCCCGAAAACTTTTAGCTCGAGCTACAAAACTGTTTTCAGTGCCTAGAAGATTGCAATGCAGTGGACGATATGAATGACAAGCTAGTGGAAACTGACCATGCGGTCGGAGCTAAGTTTTGCAAGACCCACCACAGAAGAACACAAAAACTCTCCGATCATACTCTTAATCTCATGGCTGTTAGACGAGAAATAAAGCTGCAGTCTTCAGTAGATTTGACAGCATACAGGCAACTGAACCGACAGATCTGCAAATACATGCGGCGGGGCTTACGCAACTTTAATATTGCTCGTATTCAAGAAACGATTGAGCAGAACCAGGGCTCCAAAGTTTTTGCCAGAGATCCGTCTGCCAGAAAGAGCCAACTGTCGAACCTGAAGACCGAGTGTGGTAGCGTCGTTTCCGAGACACCTGAAATTTTGAGCGAGATTGAGAGGTTCTATGGGCAGCTGTACACATCATCGTTGGAGCCACACGCAAGTGTGAGTAACGATCCGAGAGCAAGTCTTATCCGACACTATTCTGATGATATTCCTGACGTCACTCTGAGCGAGATTAGAATGGCTCTCCAGTACCTTAAAAACGGCAAGGCCCCAGGCGAGGATGGAATTACACCGAAGCTTCTGAAAGCGATTGGAAAACCGGTACTGGAACTCCTTCAGAAGCTCTTTAATTACGTCCTCTTGGCTCTTCGGATCACTGCCTGATCTGTAGGCTGTCGTCGTGTGTGATACTATAAGGCAGCGGATTGGGTTGGGATGCGGACTTTTTATGCATCATACCCATGGAGGTGGATTTGCTTTTCACAGGGTGATCCCAACATCGTTGTTGGGTGTGTCGCTGATGTGGTGCTTCAGAGGATGGAAATTTTCATCCCGTCATCTGTAGTGCCTATCGGCGGCAAATCCCAGCCTTGGTTAGGTTGCTCCTGCAAAGTGGGGTCACGGCAAAAGTAGGAGTATTACACTCAGACAGAACTACAACTCTGCCTCTAGGTCCTTCAAAAGAGTTATCCCTAGGGCAAAGATGGAGCACATTGAGATGATTGGCGAGAAACAAGTTCGCCTTCCTTCGGGAACTTGTGTAATCTATTCCCACGTCAAGTCTGCCCCAGGGAATTTCTGTAAGTCATCTTTACCATTTCTGCGCATGGAGGATGACTTGTTCGCCCACGCCGCAAAGGAGAAAAATGCCGGTCTTTTAGGTTTTCTTTTGCGTCCAACGACCGCTAGGATAATCTGCCACTATTCATTCTACTTACGTAGTATATAATGACAAAATTAATCGCGCATGCGCAATGAATGCAACTAATAGACGCCCATGCAACAATGACTACAAAGTGTAGCGCACATTGCTAGGTTTCCGTAGTTAAACAACAAACCCTTTTAGTTTCACTATGTCCGTCCGTCCGTCCGCGGTTTTGCTTAGGGACCCTAGGTGCTACAAATCTGTAATTTGACATAGTTATAGATATTAATCACGCTATTAAAACTAGAAAACTTTAAATATAATCATAAAAAAAAACATTTTTTTTGGGTACTTCCCATACAAGTACATGATGGATGATTTTTTTTACCCGTCTATTCCATCTTGTAGGGTGTCGTTGGATAGGTCTTTCAAAAACACTAGGGGTGAGGAACAATAACTTTTCGATTCAGGGGTCCGTTCGAAATATTTTGCTGTAAAGTGGTATTTTTCAGTAGTCATGTGTCCCCCCCCCCTAATAACTAAACCGCTGTTTTTGGAAATGTGAAAGTACACACGTTAGTAGTACATATAATGAAGTTAAAAGGAAAACTATCACAGCTAAGTAATTATTAGTTAAGAAGTAATAGTCGACCAACTTAGAAAATGAACTTGGATTAGTAAAAATTTCGTTACAACTCCATACAAAATGACCTAAAACAAGCTACATTATAATTTGTAATGTTATTGTAAACTGTTAAAAATATAAACATTTTATGAAGAAAACGACATATGCATAGCTTTACTTTTTCATTTGCGGGATAGGCAGGGAGGATCTTTCTTACTTGCTTACTACTTTCAGTTATATTTTAGTTGGTAGTTATTGTAGGCCTCATTTATAGTATTCATACAAGCATATATCCTCATACAGTTTCATTCGCCACACTCTTGGTTTACGCGGGCGACCTCAGAAAAATTTAGGGTAGTGGTGGTTTACGTCAAGGTTCGTTACGGTCATATATGTATATCTTAGGGTTGCACTGCCGGGAATATATAGATATATAGTCAACTATGACCATCTTTATACCTTGACATGTGAATGATTTGATGTAAATTGTATTATTTGCAAAATAAGAAATTTTCTTTTAATCTTTTTTGAATACCACTCTCTATAAGTCTGATTTGAAAATAAGTCCGTCAGTTGCGATCTTGCTATTTGGGCCCATTTTTAGTCGTTATAGCGGTCAAATCGCGAACGCACTCATTATCAAGAAAGTGTATTGTGACTGGCAACTACTAAACCCTACCTCTACATTGTGCGTGGCGCGACACGCACTTGGCCAGTTTTTTTTTGTTTGAAATAGCTCTTCTAGTGCGTAAGTACATAGTACTTCAGTGTGTTTGACGCTGCTCCCCACCAACGGTCCCGGTATTTTACATCTGGTATGGTTATATCGCCACTGTCGGTTTGGAGGTCATAAGATCTTTCTGGTTTTCTCATAGTCACCTCTTACGCCTTCCACGGGACCTTATGGAATTATGAATTTGAACTGCATCGCAACCACACCTCCCTTTACTGAGAGATAATATGCTCCTGTTCGGAACGCAATATGTTGAGTACACATTAGCGGACTCCCAGCTTCCACTTCGCTAAGGTATCAGAGTTAACAATGTCCGCGCGTCGCTGTTTTCGGTGACTGGTCATCTTCACTAATTACAAGAGCTGGTGTTTTTCTCGTTCAAAAAAAAGTATATCGATGTAACAAGAAACACGCCCACAATTCTTGGAACTATCGTGCGAGAATTATGGATTTTTTTTATAGGATAACGGTGACAAACGAGCACACAGTCCACCTGATGGTAAGTGGTTGCCGTGGCCCATAGACATCTACATCTATCCTCGATTACGAATCAAAATGCAGATGCGTTGTCACCCGTGAGGACTAAGATGGAATGTCTCGTTTCCAGTAAAAAGGGTCTCTAGTTCTCTACACTCACCATACGAAACACAGCAACGTTAAGCTGCTATTTTACGCTGGTATTCTGTGAAAGCGTGGGCCTTACCCGATCGAGCCGACCCATTCTTGCTACAACCATAATAGAGCTGCAGCATGGCTCTACCACGTATAAATATGATATGGTTTTAGTTTTCATATTTTTGTAATGTGTGATTGCAGGTTGCGATTTTGGAGGCAAATCTTAAAGAACTGAAGAAAGAGTACCAACTGCAAATGCTCTCAAACAAGTCCTAGTCATTCCTTATTCTGATAAGTAATACATAAAATGTAAGCTTTATAAAATATTACTAATGTAATTTATCTTTAAAGTTGAGATAATTTCGTTATTTAAAATTTGTACCTATCTCTCATAGACCTAAGGTAAAAAATTAAATAAAAAATGTTTCAAATGTCTGTTTGTTTTATTTTAATGAGCCATTTATAATAACCACCAAATTAGCTAGATCTATTGTCAAGCCAAAGAGTATATAGTATATCAGGCCTGACCTACTATATATATATATATATATATATATATATATATATATAGTAGGTTAACCAAAGACAATTTTGTAAATGAAGGTAAATATAACTTAGAGTCATTACTAAGTACTTATCCAAATATAAATAATAATATAAAATAATAATAATATAATATTATTACTGAAAAAAAAAAACACATGTTTATAACCTATAACAACAAAGTTATTTTTGTTTTGTCATCCAACAAGATCCGTGTCTGCGCAATAACAGCGACATCTATAGTAGTAGTATAGTAGTTTTCTGAATTGAGAGATTAACTAAAATATATTTATTCATAGTATTAAGTTCTAAGTGTTAATAGTGAATAGTATAAACAGGAATAGTGGTACTTATGTATTTAAGTGGTCAAATAGTGTAAATATTAACTATGTTGGCGTCGGCCCGTAAAAACAGTAGAGTGATATGGCACCATTTTGAATAAGACAATAAAACTTTTAAGCAACGTGTAATGAATGTAAAGATGTATTAAGTTATAAGTCGTCCACCGTCAATTTAAAAAACAACCTTCGGTTTATATATCGGTGTACGGAGCTGATGATGACCAATCCGGTCATTCATCCCGACCAACGACACGTTTAGATGTAAACAAAACAGCGAAGTGATAACGGCGTTTTGTCTTAGCTCAGGTTTTTTTTAACCTTTCTAACATTTTTTTCTGAAATATAAGAATTTCACCCAACCTAGGTGATCAGTCAGTGTACCGTACAAGGTAGATATAAGTTACATGAATAACTAATTTTATTTCTAGAAAATTGTATTGATGTCCAACGTCCACGACAGCGAAATATGATAGTAGGTACGAACGGGACATATTATGCAAAAATACCGATACGACTACAAAAATAAACATAAATCAAAATATTTATCTTTGTACTGACTAATTTACTTACCATTAAACAAATACAGCAATTGTTAATGGAATATTTTCCTAGAAATTATTGTGTGTATTTTATTTACTTCTGACCTAGAGATTTAGAGTGAATTCATGCTATGCCAGGAAGTTGTCGAGTTCCCACTAACCCTGTATAATATGGTTTTTAACGGGAGAGTAAATTAATTAGATTTTTGTGTTTGATTAATAAACATCGTTTCATAAATTCGTACCTATGTTTTATTGAGCTAAAACATATCTTATAATTATCGCTTACCTAAAATTTACAAATACTTACATAATCAAATTAATAACTTAAGTATAATAACGCATAGGCGTCAATTTTACGCTTGGCATAATGGGCATTGAGCGATACGCGCGCTCCTATACCTTGCTTATTTGTACTCTAAGTTCTGAATACTCTTTATCTATTGTTCTAAGGGGTCCCTTAATTAAATTAAATTATTATATACTCTTTGGAGGGGTTCTTAGTAATAAATCCATTTGGATTGTTCGGGTTTTGAAGGGTTAATTATTTTCAATACCCAAAGTATTAAACACATTTTGAATTTTTTTTTTTTATAGGATAAGGGTGACAAACGAGCACACAGTCCACTTGATGGTAAGTGGTTGCTGAGGCCCATAGACATCTACATCTATCTTCGATTACGAATCAAAATGCAGATGCGTTGTCACCTGTGAGGACTAAGATGGAATGCCTCGTTTCCAATAAAAAGGGTCTCCGGTTCTCTACACTCACCATACGAAGCACAGCAGCGTTAAGCTGCTATTTTACGCTGGTATTCTGTGAGAGCGTGGTACTTCCCCTGTCGAGCCGACCCAATCGTGCTACAACCATTATATAGCTGCAGCATGGCTCTACCACGTAAAATTTTTTTAATTCTTAAATAAATATGATAGGGTGGTGGTATACGGCTAGTTTTGGTGGGATCTTGACCACCGGCAGATTTGTTCTCCCGTTTTATCGTTTAAATAATGGTTTTAAACGGATTTTGATACGTAGATGTGATATGAAAAACCTGTGTACAGGCTAGACCAAAAATCCTTTAACATTTAAAATAGGTATAAAAATAAACACGCTGTATGAATGAAAAACTGTATGTAATATATTATAAAACAACAAATTAGGGTTTTTGAAAATAACATGTAAATGTTTACCTTTTTATATTTGTACACTCCTGCAATCTGGAGCGAAAATTTTCCATTACCGCTGGACAAGTGGTTGGTGCAATGTTTTGCAGTTCATTGCATATGTTTTTTTTTTTAATTTTTCAATAGGCTCTGGGTTGCTGATTACTTTACTTTTAAGATATTCCCAAAGGATTGTTCATTGGGGACCAATCCGGGCTGCGGGGTGGCCAGTTACTACCACTTTTGGATACCAGTTTTGGGCAAAATTTTCACGAACTGCTGCTATAGAGTTGTTGAAAGTGTGAGATGTTGCCCCATCTTGTTAAAACCAGGTTCTTTGGTTGAAGCCTGAAACCCTGAACGCCTTAAATGCCTGAAAGTTCTGTAACGCTGATGCAAAAAAAATCTGTAACATCGCAACGTATCGCTTTATTGACAGTAACATACCTTTGCATACCTGTCTTTGGCGAGTTGTCCCGGAATAAATATTATACACTTCTCTAGGAGTAAAAGTATTTTGTGATATTATATCACAAAAAACACAAACGTGAAATGGGGTCCAGTTCGGTACAAGCGCCTTTCAGTGTTGTCGCCTTCGACGATAAAAGACTTAGGATCTGAACGGGCGCCTAGCTCCACAGCAGTTGCTTAAAACACAGGATCTATAGGAATGTACAAACTGAGATTACTTCATTAAACAAATTAATGGTAAAAAAAAAAACATTTTTAAAATCAAGCTTTTATTTAAATGCTCTAAAAAGAAAATAAACTTTCAATTAAATCAAACTCATCAATTTATTACATTACACAATTTTGAATGATATAAACGCTTGTTGCGAGAGTTCAGCTCACATCTCCGCTAGTCAGTACGCATCTCCGCTAGCCAGTACGCATCTCCGCTAGCCAGTACGCATCTCCGCTAGCCAGTACGCATCTCCGCTAGCCAGTACGCATCTCCGCTAGCCAGTACGCATCTCCGCTAGCCAGTATGCATCTCCGCTAGCCAGTTTACATCTCCGCACAGCTTCAGTAGCTGAAAAACATTTTTTCTCGTCTCCGTTCCGCACATCTCCGCACATCTCCGCTTTGGTGGACCCTTATACATAAGGTTGGATCTAAACTTATGCAGAAACCTGTAACAAAGCATTATCTGTAGGCTATTTCTAAACAGAAAAACATTTACTGAGTCAAATCTAATCGACAAATTGAGTGTTAAAAGTATCTACCTAAATATTGGCTTTGAGTAGCTAAGTGCCTCCCATTTCACCCGTACTGGCTTATTGTGCAATGGCGAAAAACTATGCAACTTAGGAAAGAATAGATATCTTAACAGTTATTGTTTAGTCTTTCACAAACAGGTTAACGCTTGAAAATTATTTTTTGTTTATTTCATTTTTACATGTGGTGTATATGTTACTGTAAAAGCCCGAATTTTGGTGAATCTTAGGTTTTACTTTTAAATCCTGGGATTTACCAACATGAGCTGGTAAATGTAAGGATTGATATAAGATGCGACGATTTTTCGCGCTTTTACTGTTAGAGTTTGGTACATCCTAGGTTTAACCAAAGACTACCAGTAAGTGTTGTTTTTGGAAATGAAACAATATATTTATATAAGTAGAAAGTATTTATTAAACATTGAATCATATTATCTACATAATTTTAAAACTAATAATGTTGGCAACAAGCGTATTCCTTTGATGTTGCCGCCGAAAATGGAAACAAGATTTTTTGCCAAATGTTGTGTTGACAACAAAACTTTGGTGGAGACGCGGCTTTAGAGGTAAAAACTAAGATTTACTAAGTGAATGCTTGTAAAAGTCCGAAATAAACGATTACCATAGAACACTTCGTACTTCTACCTTGTGGACTATAAATATATGCCTATATATGCATATCATTACAGCCCTTCACAAGTCCACTGTTGAACATAGGTACCTAAGCCAAGCCAAGGAATGCCACAAAGCACGGTTCTGAGCCACTTGCATCCATCGACTTCTTGCATGTGTACCAAGTCGTCACACCATCTAGTGGGGGGACGCCCTACACTTCGCCTGCCGGTACGAGGCTGCCACTCGAGAACCTTTCTTCCCCATCGGTTGTCGGTTCTTCGAGCTATATGGCTGGCCCATTGGCACTTCAGCATACAAATTCTTTGGGCTATGTCGGTTACTCTGGTTCTACTGCGAATAAGTCTATCACGCAGAGAAACGCCGAGCATTGCCCTTTCCATAGCTCACTGAGCGACTTTGAGCTTCCTCATACGGCCAGCAGTGAAGGACCACGTCTCTGATCAGTAGGTCATTACTGGCGACACGCACTGGTTGAACAATCTAGTTTTGAGGTTCTGAGGTGTCTAACGAGAAGATGTGTCGTAGTTTTCCGAACGCTGCCCAGCCGAGTTGAATCCGTCGAGTGACCTCTCGGTCGAAGTTGGACTTACCTAGTCGGACTATTTGTCCCAGGTAAACATACTCGTCAACAACTTCGAGCTTAGTGCTCCCAACAACTACCGGCATAAGTGTGACACGAACGTTAAACATGATTTTTGTTTTGTCCATGTTCATCTTAAGACCAATCGGTTGGGAGACACTATTATACATTTTAGACTATATCGTCGGCAAATCAAAGGTGAGTGATGTACTCGCCATTGATGTTGACACCGTATCCTTTCCAGTCCAGTACCTTGAAAACGTCTTCCAATGCTTCGGTGAAGAGTTTCTCTGAAGTTGGATAGGTTTCGCAATCTGGTTTTGTACTCGGATAGCCATCGTTAGCCCTACTGTACAAACACTTCAGCACTTCGATATACCGACAGTCCACTTGGCACCGCCGGAGGGACTGCAGCTCCGCCCAAATTTCGACGGAATCAAAGGCTTTCTCAAAGTCCACATACGCAAGACAAAATGGTAGATTGTACTCTTCGGTCTTCTGTACAATTTGCCAAAGGTTATGTAAGTAGTTTATGGTGCTAAAGCCATTCAGAATTGCATTAATATAATACGTCCAAAAACAACAATCGATTTATTAAAGAGTGACAAAATTGATCAAGGATGAAATCTCAAAAGCCAAGGCCGTTTCGATTATATCTGATATCTCGACTTGCTTGAACAACATGCTTAGCTTTCTGAGCTTCACTGCGCACTGGCTTGACAAGGAGTATGTTCAGTTTATCGACCAAATTGGCGATATATTGAAAATGGGCCAAATTAAGAGTACCTTTAACCGACGAGCGTCTATGCGTAGGTATATGGATGTGGAGGAAACGAGAAAGGTGTGTCAGGATCGTGCCAAATGGAAGTCCATAGTCTCTGCCTACCCCTCTGGGTGACAGGCGTAAGTGTTTATGTTTATGTTTTACGTAAAAATACCTGTCACTTTTTTATATCGAGCGTAATATCCTCCGATGTATCCATATGAAAGGTATATTGTATTGAAATCAAAATTGCATTACTTACATTTTACTCTTCAGATGCATTCATAATTAAAGTTAATTTACTTTTAACAAAACAATGACGAATTTCAATAATTTACTTGTTATTAATCATATCAAAATTATTTTGCATATCGTTCTGTATACTGCTCCATTTTTTCCAATTGTTTCAACAGCTGAGGTCTCGTGCAAAGCGCTTTCTTGATGGCTTCGTCTAATATTTTTCGTTGATAAAACGGTGGGATTGGGGTGTCTTCCAAATGAAATGTGTGCATTCTTCCCAATGTATCGCCAACAAACACATTGTCTCCGGACTTCGAAAATTTTATAAATGTTAGTACTACGTTACCTGGGAACGTGTATTCAGCACAAGGAATATGATTTTTTCGACGAAGGTCCCATACGGACAAGACGTTTCCACTAACAGAGATGATGACAGTAGAGTTTATAGGACAAAAAGCTGCGTCGTATACAGCGGCGGTGCAATTTAATGTCATAATGACGTCATCTATACCCTCGAGCCAGAGTCTAATTGCGTTGTCGGCACCGCAAGACATCACTAATGCGTCCATGAAGGGCGAGAACGACATATTGTAAACAGGACCCGAGTGCGCCTTAAAGACATCGATATGTTGATTTAGATAATGAGTGGAACATTTGTGTATACAACCTTCGTCAGTACCTACTAAATAATTATGGTCTATTCTAGGGTGCCATATTATACACAGCGCAGCCGGATGTCTTACGATGGGCACGTCTACATGCAGACAGGGCTTCGTAGTTTGTAATCCTTTCATATTTCCTTCAACTGTAGATATCCGCATCATTGGTGAACAAATAAAGTCGTGTGTTTTGGTGCTTCTAAATCGATTTATTCTACCGTCTTGACACGTGATTATTACGTATTGACAAGCATCAATCGAGCGCCAGATTACATGCCATATCGGTTCAAAACAAGGGTTCGTTTCGCGTTTACTTTTTGCAATAATTCTGATAGTATAAGATGTTATATCTAATATCAACACGTCACCGTTGTTGAAACCACATGCTAACCAATTAGGATTTTTATCTGAGAATTCTACAGAAGTCAGTGGATTCTCGAATCTGTAAAGCCTTTCGGGTACGCATGGGTTTTTCGTGCACCAAATGCTAACTAAACCGTTGAAATTTTCAGCGTAGCCTAATTTTCCGTGTGCTATTGCTAGTATGTTATCATTTTTTGGATTAAACGATATACTAGTTATAGGGCGGCCTGCAGTATCATTGCATTCTAGCGTCCAAAGGGGTTTCATTGAGTAAATATATATAAGATCCAAGGATAGTGGATCAAAACGTGCGAGTCCACGAAATTTTTTCTGAGCTTCGGAATATTTTAACGTAGCAAGTACTCTTTCTGTCAATAGAACAGCATCTAAAAACTCAGGTGTGCAGCATATTTGTTCGAAACTTTTACCCTTTATCTCAGTTGCATCAGAGGTTAAAATTTTCTTTCTTCTTCGCAGTAGTTTCGGGTCAACTGATTGATACATAACCATTTCATCAGGTTCCTCGTCTACTGTTGTTTCATTAATTTTTGCGTAAGTATCGTGCATATCCCACAAGGATGCAAAAGCTATAGCATTTTTTTTCTGTGGTCTTGTTGCCAGCGTGTGCCTGGATTGCGTTATATATTCTTTTGTTTGGGTCTCCTCCGTAACCATTTTTCGGTTTCTTCCTTTACCGACAGTTATGTACTGATAGAAATTATTCTGTTCTTCTACTGCATTTCCTTCCGGAGTTCCTTTTTCGTAAGAGAAACTGGGTAACTCATAGAGGAAGTGAGTTTCCGTCTCTTTAAGAGTGACAAATATCTCTTCTGGGTACCACATAATTGGTTTTGTTTTTGTTAAATAAAATGCAGAAGGTGCTATTTCTAAATTAAAGTCGCCAGAAGCGAACCCTTCACTGGTGTTCTTTGTGTGATCGATACAAATGTCGTCAAGGGAGATAGTCGTTGTGTAAACTTTCATAGCCATTTCGACTGTGGACTTTGACTTGGATTTGGACATTCTAAGACCTATGTCGCTTTTAGCTCCAGACTTGATTCCGAATGCAGCGTGAGTGTAGGTCTCATCCATGGTAATATAATCTGGATCTACAATGTTATCGGGTGTTAAATCTACGCCATCAATAACTACACGATACGTTTGCCTTTTATCCATTAAAGTGAAAGTAACTTTGCTCACTTTAGTAAGAGTGGACTGGCTTGATGCGTTCAAGCCAGTTTCTTCGTCAGAAGTTGCTAATTTCTGTGAATGTGTATTTACAGAATTCCATGATGACTCGTTTTTTAACATTTTTGCAGTTTAAAGACTCTAACTTAGCTAAAATACTTAATAAAGCGTTATCAGTTTGGCATATGTCATTAATTCAATACGAATTCAATATTGTTATGTTTTGTTAGATTGATTTTAAAAGTAATTGCCTGTAAAAAAGTTTTTATATTCATATATATCTTCTCTATATATAAAAATAAATTGCCGTCTGTTAGTCTCGCTAAAACTCGATTTTGACGAAATTTTTTGTGTGTATTTAAGTGGATCCCTGGATGATCAAAATTGAACCCAGTAGGTGGCGCTGTTGTCGAGATCCAGAAATCATCCGTGCGAAGCCGGGGCGGATCGCTAGTGCCTAATATATAAATTCAAGATGTACAATAATTCAATTTATATAGTATCAGTTTGTACAGTGGTAGAGCCAGGCGGCAGTACAGTGGTAGAGCCAGGCGGCAGCTTTTGCTGTCGCACGGATAGGCCGGCTCGAACCGGGGTGGTACCACGACCTCACAGAATACCAGCGTGAAGTAGAGGTTTACCTCTGCGTTTCGCTTGGTGAGTGCAGGTGGCCGGAGGCCCTTTTTACTGGAAATGAGGCATTCCATCCTAGTCCTCACGGGTGACAACGCATCTATATTTTGATTCGCAAACGAGGATAAATGTAGATGTCTATGGGCCACAGCAACCACTTACCATCAGGTGGACTGTGTGCTCGTTTGTCACCCTATCCTATAAAAAAAAAAGTATCATCATTTCATTTTTAAGCTTAGACGCCGATCTCGTTTAATTTTTGGTCTAGATTGTTTCATATGTAGTTAAATTATAAATTTTCCAGGCATCTAATTAAAAAAAAAAACGTTACGCATACAGTTAAGTAAAAATTTATAGATTTAAGGGAATTTAACAAATTTAACTTTTCCTTACAAACATTTTTTGGGAAATATACCTACACAAAAGTTGCTGTCCTCAATTGCTAGGAAAAAGTCTAATGCCATCAAAAACATAACTTGTAAATAAAACCAAGTCTCGCAACTCAGTTCTTCTACCGTAAAAAGTTGTGAGATCCATGTAATACCAAGTCGGTTAATTTATTCAGTCTCTACTTAAGGGTCCTTCTGTCTCAAGTTATTACGTAATTAGCTAACCTAACAACATCTTATAGTGACCATATCAATATTAAAAATTTTTTATGTTTTAAATAAATAGATTGACTTGGCCGTGACAGTTCAGGCTTCTAGTTATATCCACAACGAAGTTATAGGGGGTCGAAAATGGCCTGAACTGCTTCGAGAAAAGGATGGTACGGCCGTGCCGCTTTTTTGCTCGACTTGGCGAGGGCACTGCCGTGCCCCCAGATGCTTGAATAATTATTAATTATTATAAATAAAAATTAATTATTATAAATTCGTTAAATTGTTTCCTTTACAATTTACTCCGTTACAGCCTATCAAAAGTCCTATGCTGAACATAAACGTCCCCCATATTTGCCTTATGGTGGGATATTTGCCATAGATGCCACGCTTGGCAAGCGGGTTGATTATTTTTTTTTTATTCACCTGTTATCAGGAAGATGCTACTGCCCATATCTTGTTTCAGTTTCTCTCTGTCGCATCTTACGACACCCACGGGATGATAATATGGGATAATGGATATTCTTACACCGCCATTACACGGTTCCTTTTGCTATCCGATATCTAAAATCTTATGATACGTATTAATTAATGCTTGCCGAGACCTACTCGTAACTCCAGACTTTGTAAACTTGTGCCTTCAGAGTGAAAAAAAAACCCTTTAGCACTACATCCAACTAACACCTATATCGTAATTATGCAGTAAATATAACATTTTTTTTTTAGAATAAAATCTTTGATTTCGTTAAAATCCATATAAAATATTTAAGCAGATAATTATTCTATTTCATATTTTTTTTATTTAAATTTAGTTTATTATTTATAAAATTGTTTAATTTTCTAATTTTTACTTACTTAATTGTTTTCAATTTACTTGTACATGGTGTTAAAGACATGAAAATAGTTTGAAGGAAATATGTCAAATAAAATTGTAGATTTATTTTATGTATTATTTATTAATTTCGTCTGTTATAGATGTCATAGGCCTAGAATTTAGGCAAGCCTCAATTTGCGTTAAGAGTGTTGACATCTCTTCATAAGTTAATGTAGAGTTTCCAATCACTCTTTTTAAATGATATTTGGTTGATTTTATGCCAGCTTCCCATAAACCTCCGAAGTTAGGAGCTTGTGGTGGGTTAAAATGCCACTTTGTATCGTGTGATTCTAACCATTCTCCAATTTTACTGTTTCTTGAGTTTTCTTCATTAAAAAGTTGCTTGAGTTCCCGAGCTGCACCAACGAAATTAGTGCCATTGTCACTAAATAATTCCATGCAGTGACCTCGTCGTGCAGTGAATCGCCTCAATGCTGCTAGAAAACTTTCAGAGCTCATGTCGCTTACAACCTCTAGATGAATTGCTCGAGTAACCATACAAATGAATAAACATATATAGCCTTTATATGATCGATTGCTTCGGCCTTTTGAAACCCTTATGTTGATCGGCCCCGCATAATCCACACCACTATATGAGAAGGCTCTGCTTGGCCTTACTCTTGACGGAGGTAACTGGCCCATCAGCTGAGTTTGGTTTTGAGCGGAAAAACGTATACAAGTAACGCATTTTCGAAAATGATTTTTTACAAGCGATTTATCTCTAAGTATCCAATATTTAGATCTCAGGTAATTGATCATTACTTGAGGTCCACCGTGTAGTGTTCTAATATGAGCCTCACGGACGAGCAACCCAGCTAAATAAGAATCGTGAGGAATCAATGCTGGATGTTTTGTATCTCTGTTGACTGTAGCATGATAAATCCGTCCACCAATGCGAAGTATGCCTTTGTCGTCTAAGAATGGATTAAATGAGATAAGTTTACTTTTCTTTTGTATAAAATTACCCTTTTTTAATGTTTCTATTTCCTCATTAAATTCTTTTATTTGTGCTTTCTTTATCATTATATGTAATGCTTCTTTTATTTCTTCTGTTTTCAAATATGCACTAGTATCCTTTTTCTTTTTCAGGAATCTTCGACAATAGGCAACCACTCTTAGTAGTTTCATCAATGTAGAAAATTTATACCACATGGCATCCTGATCATCGACAGTATTTACTGCTGCACTGTGTATTTTTACAATTCTTTCTTCTATGTTTGTATTCACAAATTTAGAAAAAGGATAATCAATTTTCTTATTACGTAACCAGGATGGACCTTTTAACCAAAGTCGATGATAAGCGATTTCAGATGGAGCAATGCCACGAGATGCGCAATCAGCGGAATTGTCTTCTGACTGCACATGAAACCAGTGAGTACGATCTAAATATTGTAATATTTCCGCCACTCTGTTACCGATATATATTTTCCACCTACTTGGATGAGAGCTTAACCACGCCAATACTATTTCTGAATCAGTCCATGCCTTCAAGTGGTTTTTAGAAATTCCCAGAACTTCAGAAACTTCTATAAGTAATTTAGTTAGTAAAAGAGCTCCACATAATTCAAGTCTAGGTATAGATAATTGACTATTAGGAGCTACCTTAGATTTGCCAGTCACCAAATTTACATGGACTTGTCCATCACTATCAATAACTCGCAGGTAGACAACTGCACTATATGCTAATGAAGACGCATCTGAAAATCCATGTAGCTCAACAAGCTCATTGTTGTTTTCACATTTCATCCAACGAGGTAACCTGAACTCGGTAAGTTTGGATAATTCATCTCTATATGTAAGCCAATAATTCAAAAAATGTGGAGGTAATTCTTCATCCCAATCTAATTTTTCTAACCACATCTTTTGAATAAAAACCTTTGCGCTGACTATACTTGGTTGTATCCATCCTAATGGATCATACAAACGTGAAATATCAGATATGACCTTTCTTTTAGTAACTGGAAATGATAACGGTGGAAGTCTGACTGCATATTCAAACTCATCGTTTTTTCGATTCCAGGTAAGTCCCAAAATTTTATTTACAGGATCTTCTTTTAGTTCCAAAATTTTGTGATCACTATTTTCTTTCTTCTCATTCCGTCGTTATTGCTTGACCATTTTTGCAATTCAAATCCACCTTTGTTGAGTAATTTATTAATCTGATAATATAATTTTGTAGCTTCCTTCTCGTTTTGACATCCAGACATTAAGTCATCTACATAAAAATCTCTTTTGACTATTTCAGCTGCTAAAGGTATATTTTGTCCTTCATCAATAGCCAACTGAATCAAACTTTTGATTGCTAAGTATGGAGCTGAAGAGGTACCAAACTCTTGCTCGCTATTCTCACGCCACAAAAAGCGTTGAAAATCAGTATCCTTTTGATTTACCTTAACCTGTCGGTACATTTTGACAACATCTGCAATAAAACAAACTGGATGAGTTCTCCATCTCATGATAATATGGCGTAAATTCGATTGAAGTTTAGGGCCAACCATCAAATCATCATTTAAAGATTTTCCATTTACGCCTTTACATGAGGCATCAAAAACTATACGCACTTTAGTTGTCTCCCTATCTTCTTTTATAACAGCATGATATGGTAAGTAAATAGCTGGTAAATCTAATTCTTCTTTTGGTACTATCTCCATGTGATTTAAGTGCAAATATTCGTCAAAAATTTTCTTAAACTCTACATTCATATCAGAATTCTTCTGTAACCTTTTCTCCAGAGAAGCAAACCTACGAAGCGCAATTTGTTTTGATTTTCCTTCTAAACATAATGGATGTTCATTTCGAAACGGAAGTCGAACTATATATCTGCCATCATTATCCCTTATCGTAGTCGATTCATATAATCGTTCACAATTTTGTTCCTCTTCCGTTAAAATTGTCTTAGATAAATTTGGTTCGGCTTCCAATTCCCAAAATGAGCGAATTAAACTATCGAGATGAACTTCACCATGTAAACTCACTACGTTACAGTAAGGTGTATTAGAATGCAATTGTCCACTTAATATCCACCCCAAAGATGTATTTTGAGCTACTGTAGATCCTGAGGGATATTTAAGTAGTCCTTCCATAATGATAAGTGCATAAACTTCTGCCCCTAATAAAATGTCAATTTTATTAGGTTTGTGGAAACTTGGGTCTGCCAAGTTGAGTTGTTTCAGCTCTGGCCAATGCAAGAGATCAACATTAGTAGAAGGTAAGTATGATGTCAACTTCTCTAAAACATATGCTGTCACATGTAGACATGAATTTGTATCGTACCTTGAATGAATTGTCAAATCTACTGTAGATTTTGAGACCAAACTTTTTTCTGCTCCTAAACCTGAAACCATAACATTTGTCTTAGTCTTTTTTAACCCGAGTAACTGTACCGCCGACTCTGTGATAAAGCTGGCCTGCGAGCCTTGATCTATCAATGCTCGCATTGTTTGATAGTCATTCCTATATTTCACGTTCACTAAAGCTGTAGCTAGTAAACCATGATGAATAGGCTCCTTTAAGAAATGACTTGCAATATTTTGATGAGATTCCTCTAAAGTTTCTGGTTGTAAGGCTGTTCTAGTGGGCTGTCCTGTTTTTACCGATTCCTTCCCTCTAGATACATCTGAATCATTATTGCCATTTATTGAGATTACATTTTTGGGATGCAAAAGTGAATGATGTCGTCTACGACATATTTGGCATGAGGTGGTTATACGGCACTGTTTTACTGAATGATTATTACCTAAACAATTGAAGCATAACTTGTTTTGTTGGACAAAGTTACGTTTATCAAAACATTGTAAACCTGAAAATCTTTTACAATTACTGATCCTATGATCACCATTACAATATACACAAGGTGATGGATTGATATGAAGGTTTACAAGTGCATTAGAATTTTTTATGTTACATACATTGCTGTGATTAGATAACTTTTTTATTGTACCTTTTGAATCTAGAAACTCCAAAGAATGGTATTTATTTTCCAAAAACTCTTTAAATTGAGAAAAAGATGGTAGTTCCTTTGACCTAGAGACAGTTTCACTTACTCTCGACTCCCATTGTTTGTGAGTTTCTTGATCCAGCTTAGAACAAACAATATAAATTATAATTAAGTCCCAAGAATCCGTATTAATACCAATGCTTTTAAGCCCGTTTAAGGTATCAGTCGTATTATCAAGTAATTCTTTTATAGCAGTTGCAGACTCTGTTGTAACGTTCCTTTGACTAAAAAATTTTTTCAAAATACAATTTGCCAAAAACTGTTTATTGTCATATCTATCTTGTAAAATTTTCCAACACTGTTCGTAATTTTCATTTGTAATAGGAATATGACGCAATAACTTTTCAGCTTCACCTGTCAAATATCCTTTCAAGTAATGAAGCTTCTGTACATCTTCCATAGAACTCTTATGAATGAGTGATACAAATAAATCCCTGAAACTCATCCATTCGGAATATTGTCCTGAAAAGGTTGGAAATGAAATCTTAGGCAATTTTACATTAGAAGATGACATTATATGCTTATCATATACAATTCCAGGTTGTTCCAAAAGTTGGTCAAATTTTTCTTTCATTTCCGCAATAAAATCAATATAAAACATTTCTGTTTCTTGAAAGTGATCATTTTTAATGTAGTCTGACGCTGATACGTCTTGCTTGCTTTTAATAATTGCAGAATGATTGCTTGAAAATTCAGTCCATTTTTCTTCCGCTAATTTTATTCTGGTTTCAATATTACGAGCTGTTAATCGTTCTTTAGGACTTTTCTTATAATTTATTTTAGCTTTATTTAATTGATTTATAATTTCTGTCTGAAGCTTTATGAATTCCATGTTTCAATTCAAATTTTGTAGGTTATAATTTTTTCAATAAAATTTTTCTAAGTCAATGTTATTTGCTTCGACTACGAGACACGGCGTCGGGATGTCGTAGAATTTTCTAAGTGTAGTGGACTTAGAATAGATTAAGAAAAATTGAACACACGGGGAACCTATGCCCAATTTTCAAAAAAAAAATACAAACACTTAGAAAATTCTAGCAATTTAACATGAAATTTTTCTAAGTCCGAATTTATCCAATAATTGCACTATGTTAATAACGCAGCAATGTACTTACAATTATTTCTTCAATGTACCTAAAAGACACCATATACTACTCTTTGTTGTCCTTTTCTTACGCCTGCTGCAAGGTGTGACGTCGCAGTAGGTTTCTTTTCACACTCCGAAGATCGCCTCGTGGATGTTCGTGTTCCGTCGCTAACAGCGTTGTCTTCCAATTTTGTAAATGGAAGATGTATCCCTCTACGACATCCCGACGCCGTGTCTCGTAGTCGTAAAAATGATCAACCTCAGATCAACCTCAGCCTTAAGTATCCGAACTCGAAGGACCAATGTTCAATGCCTAGAACTTTCCCAACACCGTAATCCCGTGATCCCGTGATTGATAAATAAAACTTCTTGACATGTGGCGTATAACGATTCACTGTATTTTAAAAATTGTAAGCTATATAATGCTCTATGAAGCAAACCATACCGTGATGTAATGTTACAAGTGACACCATCTAGTGAAAGATATTAAATGTAAAAAAGAACAAACCAGAAATAATTATTTAACAAAACTTTGCTCACAAGAACAGACGAAATTAATAAATAATACATAAAATAAATCTACAATTTTATTTGACATATTTCCTTCAAACTATTTTCATGTCTTTAACACATGGTGACACTGAAAGTTTGCAGAAAATCAAAAACTGAACAAACTAGCAAATTATTAGTTTTATTGTATCTTTTCAAAATATATAACATCAAATTACATCATCATCAATTTACATCAATATGCCGCATCCGATGGAACCACTGAGAAGAGCACTTAAGCCAACTCGTCGTTAGGGGTCTCTTCGACGGCATTTTAAAACGCAGCCAATGCGGCCTCGGCGTTTTCCTTTTAGTTTAAGTTTTTCTTTTATTTTAGGAAATAAATAAAAATCGCAAGGGGCTATAGGGCAGGTGGCCCAGTAATTCCACGTGTGACGTCGCCAAGTAGTCGATTGTTTGCTTGGCGGTGTGCGATGAGGCGTTATCGTGGTGAAGGAGGCCGTGCCAATATTTCTCGGGAAAACGTCGCTGAGTACCGGAACAAACTTGTGTCTGAAG